GCTTGCACTTTCAATTCTTCCGTTTTTAAAACTCATACTTAACACCTCTATGTTTGTCTTGCCTTGTTTTGAGTAAATATTTCAACTCAAATACAATTACTTACATTACTACCCATACCAGAGACATATATACACATATACTTTCTCTGCCCATACTAATTTAAAAAACAATGTTATAAACTCATTTTAATAAGGGACAAGCATATAGTAGTGCTAAGTATGTGGTTTGAAAATCGAAAATTGACTATTCAGTGCAAACACTGTATTATAGTATTCTCAGGTGCAAACATTGCCAAAAGTATCAAAATCCTGCCGACCAAGCGCCTGTGAGAAACTACTAACGGGAGTACAAGATGATAACCAGAGATATACATGTCTCTGATATACTGACTTAGTACTGTATTTTTCATGACAAACGACGCAGTAGGCCTACATACAATTTAATAACCATCTAAGTCTTTGTGCTGTTCCATCTTAATCAATCCCGGAATGCAAAAGTCACCAAAGACTGTGTCCACTATAACCGAGTCAAATCATGTCCAAACATGTCATAAGTTAGATAAAGTTAAAAAAAATCTTAATATATTTTGACCGACTATAGAAAGTGTTGGAATATTTTACTGCACCAGATAGAAATGATATTCAAATGTTACAAGTGCCTGATTTAGTGTATAATTAGAGTGTGTTTGAAAAAAATATTGTAATACTTTGCCACTGGATGTTAAAGAAAAAAACAATCACTCGATCAAATCGCAGTAAATGGTTTGATAGTGTCAACCATACGTTTGATCTTCATTTAAAACATCTGATAGGACGAAACATTTTTTTAAATAACCATAATAAAATCATTGTCGCATGAACTAAAACAATATGATAAAAAAAAAATTAGATTTGCAACACAGCTAGTGAGAGTCTCTTCCTTGTCCGAAAGACAGCTGGTATGCTGCATGAACGATGTAACGATCTAACGGTTTAAAACAATTATTCTAAATACCTTTATCGTTCTTTTATTTTTTTCATCATTGTATACATATTCGAAAACATCCTATTCTAATCTTAATTGTCAAAAACGCTAAAATACCGTTTTATCTCGACTTCAACTAGTAAATAAACTCATCATAGATACCAGGATTGAAATTTTGTACGCCAAACGCACGTTTCGTCTACGAAAGACTCATCAGTGACGCCGTATGAATAAAATATCAAAAAGGCCAAACACAGTACGCAGTCGAAGAGCATTGAGGACCAAATATTCCAAAAAAGGTTTTGCCAAATACAGCGAAGGTAATCTATTCCTGGAGTAGAAATGGTTTTACGACTAATCTTTTAGTGCTTTTTTAAAAAACTAATTACCTTATTGCAATTTAGGAATTTTAAATTGAAATTTTGGCCGTACCTGGGGAATTTCATAATTTACAAACGGGATACCACATCCTAATTTTTACGGTTGTGTTTATAGAGCCCGTAAATATAAATATGGTCCACGTTAACTCATTTATCCATCGAATAAAACTCATCAAATCAGTTTCATTAATTTATTCTTTACCAATCAAAGGCGGATAATTCATGTCGATATAAAAGTGCTGACTACTGGGCTGGTGACGTACCTGGTAACAAATTGTGTACCAGCATATGCATCGACCCATTGGTTGTTAAAACTCACCAAAGATATCGGGTTTATAATTTGGTACACCATACGCGCGTTTTGTCTACATAAGACCCAACAATGACACTCGAAGTTCCATAACAGTCGGAAGGTTAATTCAAATTGAAAGTTGCAGAACATTTAAAACCGAACATATTAAAACAACCGTCGTGCCAAAAACGGCACAGATAATCAATTCATGGGGATAGAAAAACTTCAGTGTTTTGATATAATTAAAACATTTTATAAACAGTATGTTTATTGAAAATGCACATATCAATGATTTTTTCATGTCAACACAAAAAAGCTGGTGATGCCAACGGGAACTAAACTTAAACCAACAGTGGCATCGACCCTGGGTTTGTTAAATGTCATTAAAGATACGAGGATTATAATTTAGTATGTCATACGCGCTTTTTGTCTACATAACACTCACCAGTGTTGCTCGAATCAAAACAGCTAGAATGTCGAAGAGCATTATTTAAAATGGAAAATTCAAAAGAACTGTGCAAAAAAAAAAACCCGGCTAAGGCAATCTATTCGGGTGGGGGGGGGGGGGGGGGGAGGGGGGTAAATAAACCTATGTGTTTTGATATAATTCAGATATTTTCAACAGTAAATTTACACAAAATGAAAAACCAAAATTCTAAAAAGTTGTGCCAACAAAGGCTTGGACAATCTATTCCTGGGGTGGAGAAAACTTGGATAATATAACCTTTTATAAACAGAAATGAGCATATCAATGATCAATGACAAAGGTAAACAGATAATCAAATTACTGAAGTACTGAACATCGGACGACCTCAAGTTCTGGTGGATGGTCACAAGCACTTGTCTTAGAAAAAAATCACATCTCTATACCTGAAAGTTAGGTTAAGGAACATAGATATATTTTTTTCTGAGACAAGTTCCTGTGTGGATGATGAATAAATGACAAGGAATTCAACCTCACCGTTATAACTATTATATTGTAGTGAAATTATCATTTGTTATCAGTATACTCTGGTTTGTTGTTATATATGTTATATTAATATTTGTATAACAGTTATATATAACTTTCATCCATTTGTATATCATTCTATTCCACTATTCTAATGATAGTGTAGTGCAAGTGCATGTTGGACACTCTTCTGTAATAATTCGTTTTTCTAATAGATTGGATTTAAGTAGGCATTCATATTTTCCCGCGTTTGTTACAAAACGTTCTTGAGATATTCTTCCGCATGCCAAATTTTCGGTTTTTGATGAAATTAATATATAAAAAGCGATAAGGAATGTTATTTTGCACTCGATAATATCCACGTAATTATACGAAATACGTTCGGTTATCAGACAAAAACGCAAGTCACGTGGGTAGAAATGTCTGCGGCAACATAACACAGGAATGCCCTCACGGTCATCCGCTGTAAAAAGTCTCGCCATTCAATACCTTGTCATGAAACCCCATCCAGGGGGTGTTACCGGGTGCAAGTGACACCTCCTAAGATTATCAAAAATTGTGCACCATATTGGTATCTTCTCCCTTTTTTCAATAGACATCGTGTCCGAACTCACATTTACATTTTGGGCCAAAATCAGCTATCCCAAGTTTTGACGGCAGTCTTGAAATCTTGGACAGGAGTTTGTATAATGATTTTTTTGTTTAAAAATGGTTTGCATATGATCTGAAAAAAATCTCCGATTAGCTAAAGAAAATTGGGACACCATACGGATGACAATTTTATCTCATTTATCAAAAAGAAGGAACTGTTGACATTTCGAAAAAAATATATGAGGTGTGGTTTGGTTGTAAATGAGACAACTATCCTACAAAAGTTTACTGTTTAGTATGCTTCCTTTAAATCACAAAATTCTGCTAGAATAAGATCTAAAAAATTAAAAGACATGTTAACCAAGTCTTATGTATATCCTTTTCAGTACTTGATAGGAGGCCTCCAAACAACTGCAGCTTTAAATAAAACATTAATTTACATTATGTATGATCAAGTCAGATTTGTTAGATCACAACGACGATGCTATGATTTTCATGGGTCACAAACATTGATTTTGTTTTTGATAAATTAAAACATATCTAAACAAGTATTGCTAAACACTATTGAAAACTGCTGGTCATCCTTCATGTCGAAACAATGTACTTATATTTTCACATTGCGAAAGATTATTCTTTTCTCAGACTGTTTTTGATGACTTTTTGGATGTGCACTGATTAATAATTTAATCTGAAAGAAATAGTTTATTTATATTTGGGAATTGGCTTTTAACTAGCTTTCAGTAACTACAAGTATTCTCTTAGATCAGTTCTTTGTGTCTTTTGTCTTTATGGTAGATGTTTTTGTGCTTCATATCAATCAGATAAATTAAGATTTTTCATACTGATTTTAAGTTTATTCTTTTGTTGTGCTTTCAGGCATTTGTGTCTCAGGTTATGAGACGATTGAGCGCTCAGTAACTTGATTAACACCGATATATCTTTTATGTGTTTGTCCCAAGACAGGAGCCTGTGATGCAGTGGTTGTCATTGGTTGCTGCCTGCCATATCTATTTTTCATTTATTGTTTTAGCGTAAATCAGGCCGTTGGTTTTCTCGTTAGTACGGTACGGTGATCTGTATAGTTGCTTAAATCCAAGCATCCTTTGGGTTTGGTGGATAGCTGACTCCTTGGAAATTTTAACACACCTCCTTATTTTTAAATTAAGTACAGTTAGTGTGGTTTCAGTAACTTCGAGAATTCATTGATACGGTATAATTGTTACTTTTATTTTAGAGATAAGTGCATTTCCTACACTGTTTTTTTTTGTAGACGAAAAGCGAGTCTGGCGTACAAAATTTAAATCCTGGTATCTATGATGAGTCTATTTATTGTACGTTCATTTATGTACCTTCTGTATTTCTACTGATCAAGTTGATAACGGGGAGGGTTGTAATCTTTAAAAGTTAAACCCGCCACAATTTAATGTGCCTGTTCCAAACCAGGAACCTCGTCAGTAGTTGTGCTAACCTTTAAACTTAACCCAAACCTAGAACAAGCTATACATGAATCGTAATCCTAAAGTAAGAGGATCAATAAAGAAAACGAAAGTCTATGTTTTTTCATGATATGTGAATTTGGTTTTAATTGCAGATCTTTGATTGTTTCTATTTCATTTATGTACATCTTTTATAGACACAAGACGATTCCGAAGACGACATATTGCATAGACAACTGTCTATTGTTGATGATTGTATATTGCCCTGTGTATGTCTTTTTTGTTATTTCTGTCATTCGGCTGCTGTCTCATTGTCGTATACCTTACATCTTATGTTATTCATATTAAGTTGTTAGAAAACTAGTGTATATGGAAAAAAACCAACATGTTATTAAAACAAAATAAATTTATTTAATAAACTAAAATACACAAATTTATAAACAAATTCATAACATTATAGATATATTTTATTATAACTTCTAAATGTTATCAAAGTGCGTATATATCAAGGAGTATTCAACAATCCGTATTTACACATATTATATATATATGAGTTTGAATCCAGGCCAGTGAAGAACAACAAATTTGCTTCCGCAAATTTACAGATCTAACATTGTTGGGCTGTTATTTAGACGAATTATATATACAGAATGTTTTTTCAGCCTTGTATCACCATCGCTGCTGGTGATCCGATGGATAAAATCTGTTGTAGAGTCGTCATGCATTGGTTCAGACGTACTTATTATATATATATATATATATAGTCTTTATTCTAAGAGCAATACAGCTTATATATAGGTATCAAGTATAATATAATATTAAGTATTCATCACGTAGAACAATTGTGTAATTCATTAATGCAATTCATACAAGCTAAAACAATCTAGGAGCATAATATTAATTGTTAACTCACCTTCTATACATTTCTAGGAATGTCATTTGTTAAAACCGACCGTGTGGAGACCTTGTATATTTAATATGTGGTTAGTGGCGTGGTTTATTTGAATACATGGTTAGTAGTGGTGTTACGCCCCTTTATAAAAACAACACGGCTTTGAAGAAAAATCTGAAATGTTTCGCCCTGACAACAGATGAAGAAACTGAAGATGAACGATTGAAATAATTGCAGAAAACACAACAAAAGCTATCAAGTTGTTATTGTTGGCATTTGTTTTTGTATATACCAATGGAAATAGGTTCTTTATATTGAAGACTTGAACCTTTTGATAGGCCACTAGTCTAAATACCACAAATTGAGATAGTCGGTAAGATAAATTGCTCTCACCCCATATGGAATTTACTGACCGCATATACATCGGATTAGATCACTAGCACACTGCGTAACTTATATCATAACTAAACAATCTGAAAGCATGATATACACATCCAACAATTGCAAGTTCTTTTGGCAATATATAAATACTTTCCAATATAATTATAAAGTTCTTTTATATTTCGAACAGATAACATTTTAATGAGTTTAAAAAATGATGGATTTCTCCAGTAATAAGGTTTTTATACTCATTGGATGATCTTTATATTTAATACATTACAAAATTGTATGGTATTCATCCTTTGCAGAATTACAGTTGCACGTATTACATATTCTATTGTTTCTGTTGATATTCAAAAACCTTCCAGTTTCAATGTTCTAGTTACGTTCATGTAAACCATTCTGGCTAGTTACTGGTTTATATCTTAAATTCACCGGTCTACTTAGATGGCTTCCGTAGAATTTTCGAAAGGATAATTCTGATTTCACCACTTAGACCTTTTGTTTAAGCAGCAACCCTCTATCAAGGAAATAATGATAGCACACGCTATCTCTGAAATATCATATCAACTGGTAAATATACATTATACAAGTGCGAACCATGACTGTCATAGATGTATTTGTAAAAGAGATTCCAAAAAAATTACATTGCTTTAGTTATAAATCTATCAGCAACACGGCTGTTAACACATATTCATTTATAACATTTTGTGTCAACCACACATTACATCAACCTTAATTACATAGTAAATTGTTTATTTTACATGACCAATTCAATTTGAAATTACTTTTACGTAGCTAGCATCCAATATTTCTATACATAAATTGTAAAAAAAAAATTCAGAATACATTTGTCAGTTTTTAACAATTTACACTAATATTTGATCATTTTGCGATACATACGTCTGTAAATTCAACAGGACTAGATGTGTAGTACTCTTTTTACTTTCAAAATATTCTTTTAAAAATATAAATGAAGAGTTTCAATGTCGATGCATTACAATATTCCCACACTGTATTACCACAATTCACTCTGCCTGAAACATATATTATATGATATGTCAAATAAAGACAGAAGTGTCTCTGTATTGATGTATTCGTCTTAAATTTTATTTAATAAACTTAAATTTACCTTGAATTGACTCATTTTCTGAGTATTAGTAAAATACCATTATAATTGAACAATTATATACCATGATATGTAAATTCATCACGTAACTCAATATACTCTCCATTAATGGACCATTTCTCCTCTGGTTTATAAACATCTCTGTTACAATAATCTTAGTTTTGAGCATATTAATATGCAAATTATGCACTTTAAAACATAAATGAACAACGTCTATCATTTTTTACAGATAATTTATATTTACCTAAAAAATAGTATCATCAGCATACATCAATACAATTGATATCAAACTAATAGTATGTTAAAGCAATTATTAATTTTCATTAAATTGCTCATAGAAAAAAACAATCGTTCATTGTTTATTTAAGAACTGCTGACACTATAAAATAATGTAGGACAATTAGAACTTTGATGTGGGACAATCAGAACTTTTGATGTGGGGCAATCAGAACTAGAAAAAAAAATGAACACATCGCTGTCTTCATATATACTCTTGGTAAACACATTAAGATGCATGACATTTAATACTATCATTTTACAGTAAAATGTTTCTACGGAAGCGCAATAGCGATTTAAAAAAAAACAGCAAAAGTTTTTCATTTCAAATCTTCTTATTTCGACTTTTAGTCCGTACATTTGCTATGATTATTTGGCGTAAAATGATGAATAGTGTACTTCTGAAAGATTTTGAAAAAATAAGAAAGTATGATAAGACGTCTTTTTCGGCCACTTGAATTCGAAATTATTTTTTTTTATCATACTTCAACCAAAAAGCATCCTGCAGATTTTCATAAGACAGTAGTTTATCGGACACTATTATTCATATATGTGAATGTGTCTGAAATATTTGCAAAAGGACTTCAAACTTCATGAATTTTGTGCAAAACTGTAAAAACGGCAAAATAACCTTATTTCAAGAGCTTGATATTAATATTCTGATATTAGCCAAAGATTTACCTAAAATAGTATTTTCAGGCAGCAAGATGTATCTTGTAAAGATATACACATGTGTAAAATTCTTTTGGGGTAAAACGCCACTGACCATGATCGTTTATCAAACACATTAATTACCACATTATATTAGCGACATCAAGTGGGTTAAGGGCGAACAAATGGGTCTTAATTCCAGAAAATTTACTTGCATGACTGATTAATGTTTCGGACTTCGACTTTTTACTTTCGAATATATATGTACATTCTCTTGACATTCTACATGGACATTTTACGTGTATATATATACTTGATTTTATACTGAATACATATTTACCGGATTTTATACTGAATAAAATTAGTTACTTAGTTAGTTATGATCAGTTATATAAAAGAATAATTTGCTCATAATCCTATTACAAATTGAAGAAACATTCAGGAGATTGATAGTCATCTAGATAGAAATAATGTCATAAATAAAACAAGAGGCTCTCAAGAGCCTGAATCGCTCACCTGTAATGTTTTGCTTAAATCTTTCATCAATGATTATTTTTGCTTTTCAATATATATTAATGAATGGCTTAAAACTTCCATTGAAATGTTCTTTGTATCTGTCATATTTTCTTCAAAATAAAAGAAATGCATTTTACCCCTATGTTTCATTTTAGCCATAGTGGCTATGTTTCTTGACGTACAAGAAAATAAAATATAAAATTTATACTAGATACTCTGAAGTTATTCAGCCCAAGTTTGACTGAAATTGATTCAGCAGTTTCAAAGGAGAAGATTTTTTAAAGTAAGCAAACTAAATGAACAAATTGTGAAAAATTGATTTTAAAGGGCAATAACTCCTTAAGGGGACAATTGACAATTTTGGTCATACTAACTTATCTGTAGATCTTACTTTGCTGGCTTTATTCTAGATACCCTTAGAATCATTCAGCTTAAGTTTGGTTGGAATTGGTTCAGTAGTTTCAGAGAAGAAGATTTTTTAAAGTTAGAAAACATGATAAACAAATTGTGTAAAATTGTCCTTAAAGGGCAATAACTCTTTAAGGGATCAATTGACAATTTTGATCATATGAACTTATTTGTAGATCTTACCTTGCCGAACATTTTTGCTGTTCACAGTTTATTTTTATCATTAATAATATTCAAGATAATAACCAAAAACTGCAAAATTTCCTTAAAATTACCAATTTAGTGGCAGCAACCCAACAATGGGTTATCAGATTCAACTGAAAATTTCAGGGCTGATAGAACTGTACCTAATGAACACTTTAACCCCCATGTCAGATTTGCTCTAAATGCTTTGGTTTTGAAATATAAGCCAAAAACTGCATTTTACCCCTATGTTCTATTTTTAGTCATGGCGGCCATGTCATTTGACAAAACAGTAAATAAAATACAAAATTTATTCTAGATACCCTAAGCATCATTCAGCTTAAGTTTGGTTGGAATTGGTTCTGTAGTTTCAGAGGAGAAGATGTTTGAAAAAGTTTACACCAGACGGACGACGACGGACGACGACAGACGACGACGGACGCCAAGTGATGGCAAAAGCTCACATTTCATTCGGAACGGTGAGCTAAAAAACACAAAACAAAAAGATCAGTTTGTTGATCATATGTGATAATATTATAATAAATAACTAAGCATTCAAAGAGCATTGCAATTATTTGTTTTAATAATGCAATTGACGTCTTTGAAACAGACGCTCGTGATATTAGTAGATTTGTAGATAAGATTATACACATGGTTACTGAAATAGCGTCAAAGATTTTGGGTAAAAAAACCTTTTCATTCAAAACTTAAAGCTATTAATCTCAATCGCGGTTTGGAAAAACATAGTGCGTAGTCGGTCTTTGGCAAAAAAATAAAGAAAAATGGTGTGAATGAAAGTTTTAAAGTAGGATGTAACATGTACTCAAACATGTCAGTCATGTGTTCGGTTAAATTCGACCAGGAAAGACTCTATACCTTCTTCTATTTCCAATTTTTCTTAATGATAAACAATAATAATTTACTGAGTATAATTTAAATAGTATTGATCACTGTATGGAAAAACCAAGTTCAATATTCAGATATTACTATATAGCATTACTTTGTGATTACACATTTCTCTATTCTTAAACTTCTCAAGGCCTTCACAACACTCTAAATATTTTTGATAACTATTGTTTAAAAAAAAATTTGACAATCAATGTCGATAAAACCAAAATTTTATCTATTTCAGAAACGAAAATCGTAAATGAAAGACACGTTTCTATTACATAACAAAGAAATTAAAAAAAGTTGACTCCTACTGGTATCTAGAATGATAGCTGTGAACAATAAGGACGTACGTATACCGTCAAACCTTTCGATTATATATTACAATGTATTATCGATTTCATGTATTTGGTTGACAGTAAAAATTCTGATTAGCCCTATCATAGAATCTTTGTGGTGATTCTTCGCCGGTACATTCTTCTCTTTCTGTGTATTGGGGAAGTTCACCACGATCAGGAACAGCATCTATATATGGATCTGTTTGATCTTCTCTTTCACAATTTCTGAAATACTTTACTCCACCGAACACAACCAGAGTGAGTATTATTCCAGCTACCACAGATCCACCTACTATCCAACCAGTTTTTGCTCCTTCGCCTCCGCTTTCGGCAGGGGCCTGCGTAGATATCGGTGCTGAAAAATATGTATACTTAGAACTTATATTTCCGTTAAAATTGGTTGGATTCACTTATTCACTATATAATTATATAATAAACCCAGAGCAAATTTTGTGAGGGTTGGTTTGTTAACTCATGAAATTAATATTGAATATTACTTCCATGGTTAACTATTACGATATCTCACAGACAAGGTAAACATGGTAAAACAACTTGTGTTGTGGCACGATCTTCTCACTGTTTTTTTTAGTTAAATGCAAAACGAAATCTGCGGGTTGTGTATTATTTAATTGTTTTATACTCGGTTGATGCTCTACGGAAAAAAAATTCGAGGAAGAATATAATCGCTGCTTTCTTCTAATGTTCATCCGAACCAATTGGTTTTCCGGATAATAACTTTTTTTGTTTTTGATATCAAACTACTAGCATAGATGGGGTAAAAAGTTTCATTAAGTAAAATGAATAAAATATACATGTACAAATTCATTAATGTATTTATATTTTTTTCAAAGTTTTACACGTCCGAGTATAATTTTTAGACAACTAGTCGCATTAGGTTCGGACACTAGTTTCCAGTTTACCCGAAAATCGGGTTCTGTTTAGTTGTTCCAGACCGGTGAGTTCATCTGTGATTGACTTATTCGTTTGCCATTCATGTCAGTCATAAATTATGTTTACTATAGTTTTACATTTCGATTTTGTCTGTATTAACAGTTTTCCAGCTCAGCTGTATATATATTCTTGATTTAGAAATTAATTTTTTTTGTGATTATTTTTTTTCCATTGATCATATATAGCCATATCAATTAAAAATATTACTTTCCGAAGTAACCAATAAGAAATGGACTATTGGCTAATTCAGAAGTTTTATCAAAAATATGTTAAAATATGGTGATTTGATATTGTAAAAATTGTTTAACTTATTTCTAAGTTTTTATGATGACTGATATTGCTCAAATACATCAAGAACTTTAGCAAAAAGTGGTCATTGATCGTCTATTTTGTTATTTTTGAAAATAAAAATAGGAAATCTGATATGATTTCTATATTTTTTTAAGAATAGTTTTTGAATATACGTGTGTTTATGATGAACATAACAAAGTAGTCAGTGTTTCGAATAATAGCATAGTTTAAAAGATACATTTCATAAAACATAAAGTGTACTGAACTGAGATAAGTAATCCCTCGAGGTAAGGTTAACCTTGGACAATTTATGCTTAAGCACCTTCTAGATTTTAGACTCGTGTGTACCAAATGAAGGTTATTCCACACACGAGTCTTGCGAACTGAAATCGGTTTTATATGTATAAAGATACCATTGCGATGACATCGGAACTAAAGGAGTGTCCGTTCGAAAGCGTAAATATTGCCAACAGCCAACACTACTACATAAACATATTTTGAATGATACATTTTAATTGTAATGTACATTTTTACTATGCAAAAAAATAACTATACTACAACTCAGGTTGCAACTACCCAAGTCAACACATTTGATATTGGACGATTTTTGTTGTTATATGAAGGTTGGTGCTCTTGACAAAGAAAGGTAAAATCATCGAACGATCTATGAAGTTGGTTCCAAAATCTTTAAGTGCACATATCATAACTGATTAAGTATTACCGGGAAAAACGTGATCACTGAAATTGAATTCATATTACGATTTGTTAGGTGCTTGCAGATAGTTCAGAATAAAGAGACATTTTTGGTAAACAATGTTGGATGAGGTTGCCCATGATATTGCTTGTTCACTTTAATTTAGCTTGATAGGAAAAAGAAAAAGAAAGTCTATGCCTTAGTTTGTAAATCTTTCTTGATTATCATACGGTCTTGCATATCTTTTATAAACTTTTCAAGGTAGAAACCTATTCTTAGATAGTTGAGATCACACGTCTCAATTAAGGTCGATTCAAATAACAAGTATAAACAACTTATAAAACTTGTTAATCAGCTTTTTTTCCTTCGTTCAAAAACGAATTTCAGCACTAGTCCATGGTTAAACAAGAAATGCATTCAAAGCATTTAAAATGTCTAGCTTGGTTGTTCTTCAGTATTCAATATTTAAAAAAATTAAAGGCAGAGACCAATTGGATATTAATAACACATACCACATGTATCTCTGTTTTCAGGTGTTGTTTTACCAAAGTAACAATCCTCTTTCAGCCTACAACATGGCGTAGCAATTTGTTGTCCAATGTCTGTATACTCGCACCACGTACACTCAGCTTCGCTATAACATTCTCTGAAATAAGACGCAAATAAGTTGAAAATAACGACTAAATATTATCCTTCAATAGCCACCAAAATAAAGAGAATATGAATGCTTCATTTGTATATGACCGTAAATAATTTCGAATATACTATAAGAGTTTGGTATTAGTTCAGTTGTAGTAGTTATCGTTGTCCATTTGTAGACAGTGTCAATAACAGTATTGACAAAACATCATTTGGAGTTAAATAGGGAAGACCCCCAACAAACACATAGTCCTCCAAATCACACACACACAGGTTAATATGAAGTCTTCAACAATCACCCGAGACAAGTGTCTATACCATGCCAAGCTTTTCGTCTAGGCAATTAACTCATTTACAACTGACAACCAAAGATTCGCCATCACAACTAAATTCTCAAATGGACAAAACTATAAAGATATGACTAAAATTAAACACTGAAATGGTTCCTGACTTGAAGTGAAGATGAAGTGGAATGAATAAAGTTAAGAATCAGTTAAAAGAGAACTTTACACTCCAAATCAATAGGTCATTTTCACAGTTACTTTAGTTTTATATATTCTATACCCCTCATATAATTTGAATAAATATAGAAGTTTCTTGAGAAAAAAAAAAGAAAAGCAGATTTGATGCTATCGGGAATATAGCCTCCCATTCTTGAAAAAGGTCTAAAAGGTCCAAAACATTGTTTGTGCCAGTTTTGATGTGTAATTTAAAGTTTTTTCAACATGTATGAGGTATAATTTATAAAATTCCGATTAGGAAATTGTCAACAATTTTAGATTGAGGTGCATTGTTCCAAGTTTAATACATTGTAATACTAAAGATGTTTTACCCTAGGAATAGATTACTTAGCTGGATTTTGTTAACGTTTCGGAATTTTGGGTCCCCAATATTCTTAAACTTCGTACTTTAGTTTGTCTTTTTAAATTTTTTGATTCGAGTGTCACTGTTGAGTCTTTTGAAGGCAAAACGCGCGTCTGGCGTATACATTTTAATCTTGGTATATATAATGAGTTTATTGTACATATACACATTTAATATATATTGTTCAATGTTTATTTGTTGAGATGATGAAGTGTAACAAAAAAATTGTTCCGGCGTGACATTTGTTCCGCCGGAACAAATTACATAGGAAATATGTTCCACCGGAATTTATATCACAGAAAATATGTTCCAGCACTGTAAAATTTGTTCCGGAATGGCCAAATGTGAAATAAGTTCCGGAACAAAAATCATAGCTCCATGAATTTTGTTTCAATTAATATTAAAAAGTTTTAAATAAGTTCCTGTGACATTAGTTTTAAACGAACATGTAAATATTTCATAGAAACTAATGAATAAGTTCCGCTCAATCATTATTGCACACCGAAACATTTTCTTGTTACACTTAAATTATAATGCAAGCTAAATGCTATACTGAGTGTACTTGCATGGGATACATTTGCAATTGAAGGCATGACTGTAACTATAGGATGAAGATAAGAAATAAAAGCGATGGTAATGTATCATAACTTTTATTTATGTTTTATGCGGTATTCCTTCTTGGTTCCTGTTAACTGTCATGACCCAGTGTTCTAGTCATACATGTACTTAGGACATGGCACAGTTTCAAAAGAGTGTGTCTTTTTTTTCTACATGTCTTTTGATTTTTATAAATGATCAAGTCACTTTGTCCTTTTCAGATTAGTACATATATTCCTCTTAAACTATACTTTTTTTCTGAATGATTTTTCTTATTCTAATCTTTTCTGGTTCAAAAGTTTAGATATTTTTTTACAGAGTATATAATTAAACATTTGCTATACTCCATAGGATCCAAACTGGATGATTTACACTTTTTATCTATTATATAAATACTTATTTTTATAATGCACTTGAATGATAACTTTAATCTCACTGATGATAAATGCTCAGTATATAAGATAACTTGTTTAACCAGTGGAACATATTTCACAGACAAGGAACTTATTTCACCAGGTGAGGAACAAATCTCACAAACCTGGAACTTATTTCACTAGGTAAGGAACAAATTTCACCAACCCGGTACTTATTTCACCAGGTATAAGTGTGGAACTTATTTTATAGTGATGGAACAATTCATATAGAAATTACCTGTGGAAAAAGTTCTCCCAGAACATATTTCCTGTGATATAAGTTCCACTGGAACTTTTTTCACAGGAACAAAGTTTGGCTCACAGAAGTTCCATCGAACTGTCCTTAGCGTATCCATTGATTATTTTTTGGATACATACAAATGTCTTAAATGGATAATACTATTAATGATATAATTCTCTTATTCGAGTATACATAAAGGTAACAATTCTCTCGGTCGAATTTGATCTTAGATTGTGTCTTTAAGATTTTGAAATCGAAATTAAACTATTTCTGTATAGACTTTGCTAAATTTTCCTTTTTTTGTGAATGTTCGCCTTTCTAAATAAAGCATGTGATCAGGTCTTCTCTTACTTTGGATATCTACTGATCTTAACTGTTGTTAGGAACCTCGAACTTCAGACTGAATTTAACCAATCACCAATAATAGGCGAGATCGTATGGCTCGATCAAATTTTACTGAAATATTCTATATACATTTCAACAATTATATTATTTATCTCATTCTTACTGTTTTGACGACTTCTCGTGACATGTTGGTGTATAGCATGCGTCCAGGCCATCAGTTATATCAGGATCGTTTTTACCAGATGTATCTGGGATTCTTGCACTACATGGTGAAGGAGCGGATCTAAAAGTTTATTTTCATGAAAGATAAGGTCAGTATTATTACGACAGCTACCGAAAACAAGTTGTCTTGGTCGTAAAGACTTTACTGTCTTCAGCCGACTTCATTATAAAGATAAACTTACTATAATAATACTGAAGAAGATAATGTAAAAGTTTGAGCTTTCATGATTGTTCTGACACACACAAGTGTTATTTTCCCAATTGAGTAATGATATCTTTGGTTTTCTGAACAGTGTGATGTGTACTGTTTATTTTGGTCAAGATAAATAAGAAGATGTGGTATGAGTGCCAATGAGACAACAAAGCTCTCTCACAGGCAAAGGTCTTTATTTTGTGACATATGTTTTTTCCCATACCACCTCTTAATAATGACTATGTTCTGTTTATCTGTTAAGTAAAATATTTTCTTATGATGAACAAGTGTACTGGAAACATCTTATTGTATTGCATGTCATGATGAATAAAGTCAAAATATATATAAATATGACCTATGCACTATAAATACTTCATCTCTATGGCATTCAAAAATAATGAAGTAAAACTTGCCTTAATACTTATGATATAAACATATGAATTGAATAAATTATCTTTATCTTAACTGAAATAAGTGTTGTTTATAAAAATGCTCTGAGAAAGCAATAAGCAATTTTTTAATGTTGCATAATATAACTGTTGAGAAAAAGGTGGTTGAGTAACAATACAATTAGCGCATTTTATGAATAAAGAAATGATGCTGGTTTTCTGTGTATGTCTGCATTATATTCATCATAAATAGCTCTCTTTTAAACGTACTCTGTGTTATATCTGTTTGAACAAACGTCATAGGTAATTGGTATGTGACATAAACAGTCGCAGTTATCCTGACACTCAAATACATCTGGGGACTTTGATCCTTGCTAAATTCATAAAAGAAAACATATTTATCGAAGTATTGAATTTTCCTTTTTATAATTTTACCGTGGTATAAAAGCGTTGAACGAACTATATTTTGTATAAAGCGCAAAATACTGTGCGCTCGATCAATGCTTTAAAACCCTATAAAATTATAATTAAAAAATATTATTTTGGAATGCTTTTATCGCAATTTTTGTCTGCTAATCAAAATTAGGGTTCTGACATGAAAAATACATATAACTTAAACGAAATAAAATTAAAAAAAGAACTGATGAAAATTCTGTAGGCTCTGTTTGTCCAGCTCCATTTTCATTTACGGTGTTTTTAACATCTGTTGATTCTTCGATATCTTTATTTAATATTTTGAATGATTCGCATACTAATTTTTCTTTTTCTGTCTATAATCACACAATAGTATCGACTATCTTTAACAAGTGCAATAGGTTACGTATATCAAAATTTGCTGTACAAAATGCAGACAAACGCTGATGTAAACGATAGCCAAAACATTTGCGTTAATTGTAATCGGGAACACAGATCCTATTATATTTGCCGTATCGATAGCCGATAATGGAGACCAAAAGAATGTGTTTTAGCCTGGCATCCCGGCCCGATCTAGCTGCGCGTCGCAAGGTTAGCCAGGACCCCAGGCTAAATGTGTTTATTCTATTATATACCGTCCTTATTAGATTTAATTGTTTCCTTGCACATACTGAATGGTACTGATAGTTCAAGTTAATCAAAAGGTATGCTTTACTTAAATCCCATATATGTTCTTTCTATTCTTAATATACAAACAGGTTTTAATCTGCCTTCCCTTCCCGAGCACATGAGATCATCCCGGTTTTTGGTGGGGTTGGAGTTGCTTAGTCTTTAGTTTTCTAATTTGTGTACTGTTGCTTGTCATTTGATCAATTTTCGTATTTTTCCATGGCATTGTCAGTTTGTTTTAGACTTATGACTTTGAATGTACTGTTCGAATCTTTCGCTTCTCCCATAGGTACGTCAGAATAGTTGCAGTTTAAAATATTGAAGCGGAAACAATTCTTAATCCGTTTAATTATAGCAACACATTGAGTGCTTACAGGTTTCCAAGCAAAAAACAAATCAAAGCAAATACAATGCAAAACGCAGCCTTAACTTACACAAATTGAAGTACATTCGGTAGATGGTCTCGACTGGAATCTTATAATAAACAAATTACTGTCAGTTACTGGTCTTATCTCAAAATTGTTTTCAGTATCCTTCAAGTCCAATCCACCCGAAAATCCTGATGGCATGGTAACCTTTGTTTATTCAAGTAAACAGATTTCAAATAGGTCAATCGTTTCAAGAGTGTACATGTAAATAGCAATATATACATCTCATAACCTATGTTATTATGACTAGTAATATGTTAAACTATCGGATAATTCTAATAACCGGAATAAATATAAAGATATATAATGATTATTAAAAGCATCGGAAGCGCATAATAAATAATCAATGATTGTTAAATTTGACTGCCAGTGCGTATTCGACGCGATACAATTAACTTAGCATCTTAAAGCTTTGTCATGTTCTCAATTAGACATATTGCTGTTTTGTTAGATTTGGCGTCTAATCATCAGTGTATAATATCTTGCCTTTCTACAACGTGTATTCAATTAGATAATTCATTTAAGTAAATACAATCAATTGTTTTATTACCTAATTAACAAGAAATAAATCGGATATGCTTTAAAAAGTGTTATTATCCAGATGGCTTATGCATATTATTACAGCCTCGCGCTATTATCAAAAGAAAAAAACTACTTGAGTGTCAAAATCTCATTATGGTACGTCAAGAAACATGTTATCACATTCATTTAAAGCATTTCACATTTTGTTTTTACGCATGATGATCTATTTCAGGTTTTAATCTTGTTGCAGAAATATATTTGGAACTGTTTCGTTAGTCGGTACAAACAATTAAAATACTAACAAAATAAATTGATATCTGTACAATATACTGCCGTTATAAGATAAGATGATGTTACCCTATAAGATCGAAGATTTGTGTTCACAGAGAAATCTTGGCATTCTTTGCTATTCAGTACTCCTTTAGATGTCAACATTTCAGCAATACCAGGTTCCTACAAATAACAAGACACAGTATAAGTATTTTATATTTTGATTGATTAAATGATTAAGAGAAGACTTGAATGATTATCAAGAAATGGTTTAAATATGAGTAGATAACAGAAAGAAAAAAACTATCAACATACTTTATTTTAGATTATATGATATATATTAACCTTGAGCAGCCAGGAATGCTTGCGTAGAGACCCCTGAAAGAACAACTTATCCCCTTAACCAGAGGAAAAACTAAGGAAATAAATTGAATATATTGAATCACTTTGAGATAAATATCATTTTACATCCAAGACACCACTGTCAGTGAAAATAAAAACTAAACTAAATATGAAAATTTCACTGCTATTGTCTGTGCTTAAAGGACAACTAAAAAAGGTAAAAACAGGTATTCAAAATAATATTACCGATTGAATGCTATGATATCTCACATGTGCTAAAACGGTTGTGTGATTTATTTATTGAAGTTTAAAATGTGAAGTAGACGCAGATTCTACGACATCAGTGTAACTGAGATGGGATGGCTAGTTGTGGAAAATGTGCACATGTAATACCTACTTTTCTTCTCTTGATTTCAGTTTTAAATAATTCATCAGAATGATATAATAGATTTTTTTCAACGAAAATCGTGTTAAAAAAGATAGATTATACCATAGGAATATTATATACATTAAGACATTTGGGTATAAGTCAATGAGACAGCAGCTCATACATAAAAGAAACCTTTTTAAGAAGCTCTTTTCTTTAAATCTTGTTTCTAAATTTATCTCATTTTGCATGTAGTTTGTTTGTATTTTTCGGGTTTATAGACGCTATTATTGCTTTTGCTTATAGTCTTTCCTTAAACATTTAAAAAAAATAAGTCAGTTATTTTTTTACATGCCACCTTTAGGATAGAGGTCCATATTGAACTACATGATATCGAAGACAAAGAAGCGACACGCAAAACAACAGGCCTCATAATTTAGTACGAAAGAGGTAAAAAAAAGAAACAATACACAACGCTATTTACAGAACATAAAATACAGAAATGCAGAGATATCCGGACGAACACAGTAAGAAGTCACATTTAAGTTTATGGAAAACTAATTAAAGTTTCTTTTTAGTTCCATTTAAAAAAGAAATAAGAATCAATACCAATTTCTAATTAAACTCATCATAGATATCAGTAATAAAATTTTGAACGCCAGACGCGCGTTTCTTCTATTTGATATTCTTGTTTAAAGTGTAACCCCATAAATTGCTTGTCCTATACCCCCATTAACGTATACCCCCCCCCCCCACCCAAATACAATTTATCAATACAGGAATTTATCGACATTGACAACCGTTAAAAAGTTCAAAACAGATACAATGCAGATTTAATATGCAGTATTGATACCTCGACAGTAATATGTTTAGGTTCAAGAAAATCTGATTCATCTGTCGTGTCCTTAAGCCGAGGGTGCATGACAATAAATCCACTATTATCTAAAATAATGCACCTGAAATGATAAAAAGGAGGATAATATTATTGTGAATTGGTTGATGTCAATGAACAGCAGGTCAACAACAAAGACATAATCATTTACCGAAGGAGAAAACGATAACATCGGAAAACAGGCACAGAAAATAAACAAAGAATTAGATAGTTAAAAAAAATTCTTAACTACTTCCGATTTCATTATTTCAAATGAACAAAAGATACAGTGAAAGTTAGCTCACACATTGTTGTCAATATAATGGAATTCTATGCGACTGTCATACAAGTGAGAGCTTTAGCTAGCTATAAACAAAGGTTAAATCATCCATTATCTACATAAGGAAATGCCTGTACCAAAAGAGGGACGAGAGATACCAGAGGGACAGTCAAACTCATAGATCGAAAACAAACTGACAACGCCATGGCCAAAAATAAAAAGACAAACAGACAAATAATAGTACAGATGACACAACATAGAAATCTAAAGACTAAGCAACACGAACCCTACCAAAAACTGGGGGTGAGCTCAGGTGCTCCGGAAGGGTAAGCAGATCCTGCTCCACATGTGGCACCCGTCGTGTTGCTTATGTTATTACAAATCCGGTAAATAGTCTAATTCGGTAAGTCACATTCGTGAAAAGGGAAGGGTATTGTAGTTACGACATAAGGAACATATCAGATATCATCTGTGAAACGGTTATTCCATAACGGTCAACCAACTCGTGATGGCGTCCGTACCAAGTCAGGAATATGACAGTTGTTTTTCATTCATTTTATGGGTTTGAGCTTTTGATTTTGCCTTATGATAAGGGACATTCCCATCTGAATTTTCCTTGGAGTTCGGTATTTTTGTTATTTTATTTTTTATTAAACATGGAGCTCAATTCTATCGGTATCACAAATTTTCTTAATAAACAAAATAGGTCTGCCTGCTTGAACTAAAACAAAACTTAATGAACACAATGTCATGCAGGATCATCTACGACTTCCGATATTGAATGCAATCCCAAATTACTAAATTTGTTGATGATGATTGCATGCCCTCAGACATTTTCTTATACCCAAATCTTCTTCCATAGCAAAGTTATGTAACAATGTGATATAAATACAATATAGTATAACGACCATAATAAAGTAAGTGGAAAAGTGAATCACTATTTATGTATCAATTTGTAAATCAAATCTCAAAATATAATATACCCAGACTGAGCAATAAGATACTATACATATAACTTTTACAAATAGTATACTTAGCCAAAGACACGTAGGGCAATTTTTTGTGGCGTTGATACATTCGTGTGACGCACAGTTCATAATTCTATTGTGGTGTACTGGTGTACTGTCGTAAATTAAAAGGGAGGTGTCCGTTGTTATTCTTTGGTTTACATGTTGTAATGTACTATTATATTATTTATTTATGTATTTCTCTGTCCTGAGAGTTTTTGGGTTTATTTGTACTGTATTCCTGTCACGTAATGTTGTCATTTTAGCGGTATTTTAAACATTGCCATATAAGCGGGAGGTTTGGCTAGCCATAAAACCAGGTTCAACCCACAATTTTTTTCTTAAAATGTCCTGTACCAAGTCAGGAATAAGGCAGTTGTTATCAAATAGTCCGTTTCTATGTAAGTTGGCGTTTGTTTTTGTAGCAGTTCAGTGTTTCTGTTGTTCCGTTGTTTTCCTCTTATAGTTGATGTGTTTCCCTCGGTTTAGGTTTGTGACCCGGATTTGTTTTCGCTTAATCGATTTATGACTATTGAACAGCGGTTTACTACTGTTGCCTTTATTTAGTCTTAAATTGGAATTTTGTGAGTATGAAAACACGAACATGGATCGATAATACTAGTATGTGATTATTTGAAGATGCGAGTGAAATAAAAACCTGTTTGTTGCTTTGATTTATATTTAATTTATTATCTTCACAATTTGCACGTTCAACAGCTATCCTGATCGTACTATTTGACCTGCGACTTCTATAACACATGTGTTATAATAGTGTCAATATTTGACCGATGACCACAGGCGAATAAAATTTATAGGTTAGTTTCTTTACAAATATCTTTTATGAGAACATTCTTGTTATTTCACGAGTAGTTTACCAATTGAATATTTTATAATATGTTTTAAAACAACGTCATTTTACAATAATAGGAAATGCGCAATATATATGCATTGTCGAAAAATATAAAATATGTGTTCAAACTTTATGAACAGAATGAAAAGTGAAGCTCTTTGAGCTTTCTCTTGTTTTTTAACGGTTACAAATTAGTTATATATTTCTCGGCATGTATATATATATAATTCGTCTCAAATTTAGCCCAGCAATGTTAGATCTTCAAATTTGCGTTTATAAATTTTTGTTCTTCCCTCAGCGGGATTCGAACCCTTGCTTTTGTGACATCGTTGCAACACCGCCTGCATCCTGTCCAGTACACTAGACCACTCGACCACCTAGGCTATATAAAAATATAGATTTCGGTGGTCGATGTAATACCTTTCTTCGTCGGCTTTATCTAGGGTTGTATTGAGGTTCTGCAAAAGGAAATCACAAATTCGCCAACATTCCAACTGACTCAATATTCGGAAAATAAAATCGTTAACAAAGATAAACTTGTTGCTAACTTTTGACAAGTAGAACCGAATAACCTGAAATTTCCAGCTATTTACTGGTTTGAAACTGCACAAAACACCTTTCACAATCCTATAGATTTATTTCGTCTTCAAGACATTGTTCAACTACTAAACTATCTATTTTACTTGCTAGTAGACTTCGTGCAATCAAAATAGATATAAGAAGATGTGGTATGAGTGCCAATGAGACAACTCTCCATCCAAGTCACAATTTGTAAAAGTGAACCATTATAGGTCAAAGTACAGCTTTCAACACGGAGCCTAGGTTCACACCGAACAGCAAGCTATAAAGGGCCCCAAAAAACCTAGTAATAAATTTTTCAAATAAGGTCTACGAAAATAGTGGAATTAATCACCTGTATGCTCATCTGCGTAGAAACCCCCACCCCCTTTTTTGACCTCGAACAGATGTGGGAAAGCTTAACAAACAGTAAATCCTAGTTGGAAAGGGATTGACTCGTTCGATCGACACAAAGCACAAAAACATGTTTTTTCAATAACAGCCAGGAACAAGATTACAAAAACACCTATTCGATGCAGTAATTGTTTTACTTCGCATCTGAAATTAAGAATCGAACAATTTATTTGACCACCTCCAAAAAAATGATTTTTTTTCTGCGCATTACTTCATGATGAACAAACTTTTATTCTTCTCACATCTTTACAGCTTGAGTGTCCTGAATTTTTTGTCAGCATATGCTTTTTTTTAATTCCCAGCTGTTTTCTTCTATAGAAGCCGATATGGCTTTAGGGCGGACCGCGAAAAGACAACAATTAACTGTGATGTAAAAAATATTTATATATAACCGCTCAGTCTTTGGTCTTTGTTTTTTTTATGATGTGTTTTGTACTGTTGCTTGTCTGTTTGTCTTTTTGTCTTTTTTTTTAGCCATGGCTTTGTCGGGTTATTTTCGACTTATGTGTTTGAGTGTCCCTTTGGTATCATTCGCCTTTCTTCGCTCAACATAGAAGCTGGATAACAGGCGACTTTATATCTACACTTAACAAATATATAAACAAATCATTTGCATACGCGTATTTGAAATGCATGTTTGGCTGAATGCAGGATTAAAATATATAAGTATCAGCATTTTAGACATATTCCTTTCATTGAATTATCCCATATCTTAAGCATGATATCCGTTTCATCGGCTCACGAAGATCACTGTTCAAATCTTTGTTGAAATGTATGATAACATATTACCTGTTTCCGTCATCGCAGGAGGGATAAATATCATTAATAAACCAATTAAAATATTGTAACGGGAAATCAGCAGCGACAGTGGCAGTTACTGCACCAATTCCATCAGTTCTAAAACATGTCAAAGCATAAATAATTGTTAACAAATGTTATTCAAAAACAAATTGAATACTTTTTGATCATAATTGGAAGCGTTTTTGATTTTTGCAATCAAGATCGGGCATTCAACACCTGGCATTTTTTATGGTTATGTATATTGTATTCGTTTTCACTCCAAAAACAAAACAAAAAGTGGTTTAATGTTATGCACAAAATGAATGAAATAATGTGTCATGTGCATGAACAAAGTAAATCTTGCTTCATATCATTAAATTTATATCTTCTTCCAATTGAGTAGTTATTTACTTTGTCTGCGGATAGCAACTATTTTTAAGTTGAATACAATTGAGAATGGAAATGGGAAATGTGTCAAAGAGACAACAACCCGACCATAGAGCAGACAACAGCCGAAGGCCACCAATGGGTCTTCAATGCAGCGAGAAACTCCCGCACCCGGAGGCGTCCTTCAGCTGGCCCCTTAACAAATATGTATACTAGTTCAGTGATAATGGACGTCATACTAAACTCCAAATTATACACAAGAAACTAAAATTAAAAATGATACAAGACTAACAAAGGCCAGAGGCTCCTGACTTGGGACAGGCGCAAAAATGCGGCGGGGTTAAACATGTTTTTTGAGATCTCAAACCTCCCCCTATACCTCTAGCCAATGTAGAAAAACAAACGTACAACAGTACGCACAGTAAAACTCAGTTTAAGAGAAGTCCGATGTCAGAATAGGAAACAAAAGAAAATAAACAAAATGACAATAGTACATAAAAAACAACAGACTACTAGCAGTTACTGACATGCCAGCTCCAGACCTCAATTAAACTGATTGAAAGATTATGTCTTCATCATATGAATATCAGGCACAATCCCTCCTGTTAGGGGTTTAGTATTATACCATCAAAAAATATATGAGAAGAACATAACCCGTGTCATGCCAACAACTGGTTTTAGAATAAATATGTTTAATTCCGATGCAAAGACCCTATAAGTGAATCAATATTAAAGCCAACATATGCAATCTTTAATGACCTGACAACAATATCGTAACTATATTCCTTCTTTATAAGTCTGTTTAAAGGTTTTGTTAGCTTTTGAGGTGAATACTGATATTTTTGTGCTTTGTAAAGAATATTACCATAAAAGATTGTATACTTTTTCCAAACTAAAAGTAATGGTTTAATTTTGAGGATTACATTTCAATCGTTGTCCATCTCTAACACTACAACATTGTTTTGATACATGTCTGGGACAATCGTTGGTAATTGTCTTCATCATAAACACTTGCATTGATTAAACAATTGTAAATCGAGCTAACTCAACATCTTATTGACATGCAAAGTCTGTTACCCAATCAGCAATCATTTCTAACAGGAAATAAGAAACAGTGATATGATTTTATATCTAAAAAACTATACAAAGGAGTAATAAAACCAAATTGAGGGAGCTTAAAAATGCTCGTTTCTGTGATGGACTACAAAACAAAAAGGTGCTTTCAATGACATCCTTTTGCAAAATAATGGAATAGATATCAGTGACAATACACCTACGTCAGGAAATTGAAATAATTCCAAATACATTAATTGCATTGTTCAAAAATTTAAAGATATGAAGTGTTTATGCACTTTAAAACATATTCTCCCCAAAATCAATGAATTACAAACCGATGATTTTGACCCCTTTTGCAGTTTTTTCTACCTTCTATGCTATACAGTGCTTTCATATTCATTAGTTGAAATAGCTTGATAATATGTGAATGAAAATGATATTTACCCTGCTTTATGTAATGTATGTATGAATGTCAGTACTATACCGGATCCCCATCCATCAACATACGGTGTTGTAAGATACATAGTGTTTGGATGTCCTAAAGCCTGACGCCACCTAAAACAGACTTGTCTTTACTTGATTCCATTATTTTGAATAAACAAAATGATACGGGATAATAATTCATTAACATCGGCTACGAAAAAATAATTAAAATAAACTATATGCTTTATATACATACATGGCTATAATGCTAGCGCATGACATGCTGTGAATATTATTGTGCTAATTTTGGTATTTGTAATAAAGTTAATGGTAAAAGTATGTGTTTAAAATGAATATCAAAATTAGTATTTATACAATGTCAACCAACCGTTACTTAAAAGATAAGACTATTTTGTTTTTGAATTTGATTTTTGTTTTTTTGTATTCATGACCTGAGATTAAAGCATTGTTTCCCACTGATTTTGATTGATAAAGCGCGAATAATGTAATTTTATTTCTTACCACGGTCTCTTTTCATGGTCAAAGTTTTTATGCAACAAAATTCCCGGATATGTCCTCATGACTCCTGATTTTGTACCAATGTACCGCCATGACACATAAGTGGCTGGATGTTCCTTCCAGAACTGCTCAGCTTTATAAGTAGCCCAAACAGATGATCGAACAGTTGACTGTAATTTTTATTATAGTACTATTAATACATACTAAAAGCTACAATATAGATCAAAGTAAACTAATTTTCAATTGAAACAGGCATTTTCATCTGATTTTCTCTTAAAAGACTGAACAATGAATTATTTAATCATGAGCAGCCTTTCAGTAAATTGTCAGACTTATCCATGGCGGTAAACTCAGTAGTTTTAAGACAAGTCGCTTACAGTCAATTAAAATCTGTTCAGACTGTTCAGTAGTTGCTGTATACCTGTACACAACAACAACACACTGAACTGTTTGAAAAGCTACTGATTTGACAACAAGAAAAATGTCTCAACGGTACTGAATTTACAACAAGAAAATATCTGAAAGTTAACTTTAACTCTTAATCAGACTTAACGTTCTTATTTTCAGATTGTTGGGATGATGTTAAAGTCAAAATAAGCATTTAAGACCTAAATTCATTTACTTATGGGTATCTTTGAAATGAACGTTTAATAACGATTTCAATATTTCATTTCAGAAATGTGTTTGGTGAAAGTCATATGATACTTAAGATAAAATAAAAAGTTGAATATGTTTTGAATACTAAAATGGCTAAGTTTAACTATAAAACAAGTGTAGGTGGACTTTCTTTTAAGACAAAATCCTCTTTTTTTTATCAAAATCTTGTGAAATGTGCTATTATTGAACTATTGCCTTCCAGTACTCTAATTCGGCGATATTTTTCCAAATGCAGTGACCCAACTACGAAAACTCTCTTCAGAACTTCGGCCACCGCACAGCACAAGTGCAGGGGAAAACCCGTGATGAAACAATTTAAACAAACGTGCACTGAAAGGTAAATATTAATAATTAAATCTTAAAAAACAAAACAAATACACAAAATCATTTAATAACTGTTATGGTAAGGTCTAATTAACGAATTGAAACGCATGGAAAATACAAAAAATATTTCAGCATGGCTCTATCAATTCACTTATTTTTGCACGTGCTCCATGATTCTGTGTAGATTATTTATCAATATCACAATCTGATAAACTTCGGAAACAAACTCGAAAGTTAATAAGCGTGCGAAATATTATTTGTCGATAGTACGGTATAGTGTATATATTTATAAGAAAGTCCAGTTATAATCATTTGGTTCTCATAGGATAAATTGCCCATTCTAGAATCAGACTCTCTGTTACACACCGAAGTTGTTCGCACATTTCAGTTGAAGCTACATGTCCAAATAAAAATTTGGGACAAGGGTAACATTTAATGCCCCCTCCGGAAACGGCGGGGGCATAAAAATCATGACCTTGTAATATGGCAAAATATGAGTATATACTATCAATATGATGTAGGATCCTCACAAGTTTTTATAACTGTATAGCAATACGAAATCAGTTATTTTTTTATTTGATATAAAAAAAAAATATAACCACTCGGTTTCTCCAAGAAGGTAAACCGTAAATTACATTGTGAAATATTTTAGAGTACATTGATTATCGTCTTAAGGTTGCAACTGCTATACACTTGTAATTGACCTTAATGACCTGTACCAAGTAATAAAGTGGCTGGTGGTGCTATAACAGAGACAAAATGTCTGATTGAAAACGAATAATTTCAACAGAGAAAAACTGACAAATAAAATGAAATGATATAGTATTGCCCTTGGGAAATCATCTCAGCTAATTTTGAAAATAATTCTAGCTAATTTTGAAAATATTTCTCAGTCGAGTTCCCTGAATCCTGACTTTGAATGCTTGCGAAACAGTGGTTGACAGGAAATTCGACGTGACCTGTCTTATCAACTGTAGTCTAAGTAATGAAATATGAGTTTTAAGTTGATAGAACTTGGGGGATAAAAAAATGTCATTTAAAAGACTGACCAGTGATAAAAAATCTAATGAATGACAGTGCAGAGGTATTGCTGCGTAGCTGAGATGTCCTCATGTTACATGAGGAATGAAGGCTGGCTGAAAATGGGATGGCGGAGGGAATATTTGGTTGGACAAGACTGCTAGCAAACTGAATGAAACAAGGTGACTGAGCCTTATCTGTCAAAATAGTTTTCAATAGTGATTATTTTTACGGCTATGATCTGACCGCTAAGCTATAGATTCCTGACGAGAAACGGGGAAAAATACACCCGAAAGTCGTTATAGATCATTAAGAGAAATCATCTTAAGCGAGCAATAAAATGCAGTTCTCAAAACAATTATAAACTAAATTATATGCTATATATACAAATATTTTAAGATAAATGTTTGTACCGATAAGATCAATATTCAAAGATATTCTGAAGGTATTAAATTGATAATCCCTACCTTTTAAGAAAAAGTTTATTCAAGGGAATAATGACTTTACATAGATCGCATCTAACTTAAACACAGTTTTTCTTAAATACAAGTTATAAAGATGTACACATTTGCAAAAAGTACTCGAACAGGATTTAGAAAAATTAATATTTGACACGTCTGCAGCCGTAATTGTTGTTTGGTTTAACATGGTCGCAGTGTATCAACTGACTAAATAAATGTTTAATCTGTCGTACACTATTGTCCATCTGATTTTGCTATAACCATATTAGACAGGTTCATGTCGTTAGTTGACTACCACTTGTTATCTAGAAAAAAGGGGGACTGAAGGTAAAGGGGTTTTTGAAAATGAATAACCTGACATTACCATTTATAAAATAAATCTTTCAAACTTAAAAGTCGACTCAAAAATAATAGTAATGACCAGCTAATGTTAGAAATAGTTGTTCATGAACAATTTAAATATCTATTTATGAATCATTGTCTAGGAAAATAAATATACGTTTCTATAACATAATCCATTCCGTTAACTTTTCCAGGTATTGAGTCTATGTAATACATCCGTATTATTCTGTTGCAATGATTGGAAATAAATGTTCGTTGGAAAAAAATATTATCCTACTCCCCTAACATTACACAAAATGAATATTTTGGTGTATTTGAAAGGTGATGCAAGCATAGCACTTGGTTTAGGGATTTTATCGACTCCAAACTTTAACTTCCTTCCGGTACCATTGGCCATGGGTACAAATAAGCCAAGTATGGGTTCTAAAATGCAACCATTTCATTGACCAGATTTTTTCCCTGAAAATTTCCCTGTATTATACATCATTTTAAGTGAAATCACTGTAAAATATTTCAAATAACTGACATTGATGTGCACAACAATCCACAACTTGCCGGAGCTTGGTCTCTGTTGATTATTTTTGCCAAAATCAGATCAGCAATTTTATGGTTGCCAAAATGTTTTTTTTCCCAAATTCATGTTCCTCTGCAGTGGACCTTAAAGATGATTATTTGACCCAACACGATGACAAATTGTATTTCAAGTAGCAACTTTAAAAATAATGTTTGTTATTTTCTAAAAATGTCCTGTACCAAGTCAGGAATATGGCAGTTGTTATCAAATAGTTCGTTTCTATAGATATAAGAAGATGTGGTATGAGTGCCAATGTATGTTTGCGTTTGTTTTTGTTGCACATCAGTGTTCCTGTTGTTCCTTTGGTTTCCTCTTATAGTTGATGAGTTTCCCTCGGTTTTAGTTTGTTACCCGGATTTGATTTCTCTCAATCGATTTATGACTTTTGAACACCGGTATACTACTGTTGCCTTTATTTTGTACGAAAAAAGTAAATTCACAAAAATACTGAACTCCGAGGAAAATTCAATCGGAAATTCGAATTGAACAATATCAGTTTTCTTTACTAATATCGTTATTAAAAAAAACCACACTATCTTAATGTACCTTAAATCCTGGATTACTTGACGTTGTCGCCGTGATATAATTTTTATATTTTGTGACATTCAGGGCTGTTTCATCACTGTCTAGAAATTGAAACGGATTCTGAAAAGCAGTCGGTGTAAACTTGACAGAACTGTGAGCTGAAAAGTAAATTGGATATATGAAGTTCTATAGGCAACCAGTGAAATAACAAAACACTAAACAAAAATTGAGGAACTAAATTGCAAATTACATATGCATAACACAATTTATGTAGCTATTTAAATGAAAATGAGAACAACATTCAACAACTGAAGAAACTAAAGTCTGCAGAAAAACATAAGTAATAAAACTATCTTATTATATTATCACTTATTCAATTCGTAGCAAGCTTGGTATGTTTAATTTTGATAGACACTTTCATATAAGTAATATGATATTTGAGCAATATTCAAGTTACGCAAATTAGCGAATGCAATTTTTTTCTTCATAAACAGACATACCATTTGTTCTAGCTTTGAAAAACAAGGAACTTACCTAATGTAGCTCGTCGTCTGTAGAATTTACAATTTTTAAAGTCATCCTTCAAAAGATTTCTATCATGGAACATAAACACATTGCTTTTATCTGTGTTGAATTTTGATTCATCGATTTCGGAGTACGATTCTTCCACAAGAACAATACACAAAGAAAAGTTACTCTTAGGTATCTACAAAAGTATTATTTAAAAAAATCACATCGATTATCAAATCGATACCTAGTGGGTGTATAAAAAAGCATTAATATATAAATGTATGTATTTTCAGTGTTAAAGACATGTATCTCTGGGACAACCTTCTCTTCAGATTATCAGAAGCGAAAAAGAGCCCCCCCCCCCCCTTCCCCCCCCCAAAAAAAGTAGTTGCACATTCATGAAGCTTTAGTGGCTCTATACTGGACTTTATTAATAATTGAAACAAAAACAAGTCTAAACACAAAGTAGCTGTTCTTACATTTACTAGTAAGTCCAGAACTATGTACATTACAATTTGGACATTGTAACGCAAATAAATTAATGAATATTCAGTTGTGCATTCGTAATGTATTATTTTAATTATGCTTGTACAGATTTTTGTTAAAATTGAATATTTTTAATATGAATAAAAAGAATGTTCGGTATACGTCAATTAAATACAATTAAGGCCACAAAAAGTTAAAAAAAATCATTTTGAGGGCAGTATACATTTTTCAACAATAGACAGGTGACACGATAATAGATCAAGCTCTTAGTCATACATTATGATTTTCTCTTTAATATCAAACGTAACATTGCTTTGATCAACATTTCTACTTTCTGGAGGGAACCAATTTATAAGCACCAGCTATACGCTCAACGATTAATACCTTTTCAACGGTGCTTTAAGAAAACATATTTAGATAAAAGAAACCTTTAATAAACCCCGATATATAAACGTGTTCACTTAATAAACAGAAATATAGAAAAAGCCTGGATAAAGATATCAGAGCTATGCATGAGAAAGATACTTTAGTTCTTAAAGAAACAGAATATCTTAATGTTGTCACTTTTTATCCAATAATTATTCATAATAATCAGAACAATTTTGCCTGTGTTTTCAACAGTTTATACGACAGTTACAAACCCTCAACACCAGTTATTAGTTTCATCATTGAATCATATCTTAACATGTTACATATCGATATTTTTTATAAGTACACTGTACGAACTAGCAAACACTCTTATTTTTAGTTTAGACATGTACAAGTATGAGATCATACAACGTTTCCGTCCTACGATAACAAAAAATATTCAGGATGGTTGATTGTGTGTGTTTTCCACGTGTAACTAATTAATAATTCCAATGAATACGCCTACTGATTAAAGTGAAAGATACCAAAAAATCCGTGGATGTTTCCTATTTTGTCATATGAACGACTGCGTCATCTCAACGCAAGATAATAGAATATTATGACATCTGAATTGTACAGTTTTTAATAGTGTTTTGCTTAATGTGATATCTGAACTTACTGGACCCCAAAACAACTGTGCTTTGAGATTAACATCCTTACTGCCGTCATTTAAAAGTTTTCCACGTGGCTTTATGAAGAACTTATTGAACTCCTTAGATCCAGATTCACCACTGAAATATATAAGTTGACATATATAATTACCTTTACTCATATTGAAATAAGTTACAAGTTCTTCACTAATCGATTTGATAAAATCAAATACAAATAACAAGTATAGCGCAAAGTAAATATGATATATTAAACGTATAAGATTACCCAATAGACATCTTTACGGCACCACAAGGCACAATGTCGTCCATAGTAATTGATGGTTCCTTTATCAACACATTTGATATTTCGGATATTTTACACTCAGATCTTTTTCAAAAAGACTTTAAGACTATTTTCAGACGCGAACATGATTTGTTCATCGCAAGGATATTTTTGGTTTTGTAACTCTGAAGGTCAAGGCATTTTTTTCTATTAATAAAACTGTCTCATTGACGTATACCCCAATCCCAATTTATTTATATGTTAGACATGTTAAATGTCTGATTACATATTCTCAATTCACAAGTATTGACAAGAAACTAGAAAACAATACTTCTCAAGGTTTAACAATAATTGTAAATCAGCTAATACTGTTTACAAACAAGTGTGGATACACATTGTTGTGGATAGTAATTTTTGTATTGGTTTTAGTAGGTTCGAGCAATTGTTCAAATGCACATTCGGACTATCAAACTGTATTTGTGAAATGACGAGGGACGCATATTATTAATCTACACAAGTTATGACAACATCTATACGTTTCTTGTATACTTTTAATGCTATCTTTTGAAAATATTTCTGCTGAAATGGCCAAAGCCTGGTTAACATAACATAAAAGAAACAAAATTACCAATAGAATATTATTTTACATTTTACAATGTTTAAGATAATTTCCTTTCACCGAATAATACAAAGGTGAAATAACTATAGTAAGTTCATCAACCCCATTTAATATAATAAAGGATACAACAGGAACCATTTCTTTACATACACAAACAAATTGACAGTGAGGAACTGATGCTAATTAAACTTTGCGACAAATGAGATGATATAAATATTCCTTTTTAATAACTGTCCACCGGCAGCCCCTGGATATGTCATAATAGTAGTTAAAAAAGGGATTCCAGTGTTTGCGTTCACCATCATTGTTTCATGAAGTAAGGGAACCAATTGAACTAACTGATCAACGGTAAAATTGAAGTCAACTCTTTCAAAGTGTACATATGCTAGATTCAATAGCTGAGATACCTCTTAGATTGGTGTATTCACGCTTTTTGTTAACTGTTGTTTGTCCTTTGCACCGATCTGATCAGTCAAGGTTCTGATCTATAAAGTTTTTCTTATATTTTGCTGTTACCCCAAGGTCAAAAAGAGGCAAAATATACCAAAGGAAAACTCAAACTCATAAGTCGAAAACAAACTGACAACGCAATGGCAAAAACGACCAACGACAAACAATAGGTAACAAAACACAACATAGAAAACTAAAGATTGAGCAACACGAACCCCATCAAAAAACAAAAAGTGATCTCAGGTGCCCCGGAAGGCATATGGGGAGGACTATAATTTTTTACCCAGCTTTTGTTTTCATATCTTTTAATAATTTGCAATACTGTTTTGCACATTATTGAAGGCCTATGGTGACCCATAGTTGCTTACCTCCAGTGGATAGGGATCTCATTGGCAATCATGCCACATCTTCTTATTAGCATACTGTGTACATATAACTTTTATCAATAAGTCTTTTCAGCCGAGGAGTACATATCTGATGGATGATACCAAACGAACATTCAAGTTGAAAAAAAACGGACAACACATTACAAAAAACGAAAAACGAAGAAACGACAACTAACAATCTACGAAACAATACATATAAAACTGAGGACTGAGATATACAACTCAACCAAAAAAAAAAAAAGGAGGGTGATCTCAGGTGCTCTGGAAGGATAATCAGATCCTGTTAATTCACATTTGGAACCTAGTTTGTTGCTCACGGTAAGTACAAATTAGATGATAAGTCTCATTTGATGATGAACAATCTAAGACAAGAAGACGGGATTGTCGTTACAACAATTAGAGAAATATCCGTATTCATTTGTGATAAGATATTTCATTTAAGTTTACTTTTATCTTTTAGTGTTGATAATTACTGTCTTGAACTTTTATATTCAAATTCTTGGTTCTGATCACTTCGTATCTCGTTTCAGACATATGCAACACACACGATAGTGCGCGTAAAACATATTGCCTCGATATTATTAGAGAAAACAGTTTTGACAACATATAAACAACGATCAGGAGATGCAATACAGAGTCCCTCAGTTCGACCATAACTTAACATCTTGCCATCGCCTCGAAGCTTCTTGAAAATATTCTGGTATACAAACGTTTGAATGAATCATTCTGTTTTAATTACAGAGTCATCGACTTCAAAAGTATATATTTTGAGCAAACATTATGACTTCATGCTAGTATAGACAGACTAAGAATTTGTTACAAATATAACCAAGACAAAAACACAAAGCATTGGCTTAAATATTACAGAAAGTTTATACCTTTTCATTGAATCAATAACGGACTGTGCTTCTGGTGCACGTTCAAGAACACTTATATCAACTAATACTGGATCTTCAGTAGATCTGACAAAAGCCGCATTAGGTAATAATGGGTGCATCAAGACTCTCCCAGTTCCGTCTATCATAAATCCGTAGGAATATTCTTCTTCTGAGAAGTATTCTATTTCAGTCAATAGTTCACTTATTTTTACATCAGTACATATAACTCCATGAAACCCCGCGGCTACTTTAACAGTGCGACAGAGTGATGTGATCAATCCTATAACGGTTATCAGTCAAAATTTAAAAGAAAGGTGATAATATTTTAACATAAAAGAACAATAAAGGATATGGAGTATCCATCTACGACACAAAATCAATGTCTTAATTATGCAACGTGTTACCTATTTAATTGAATATCGTTTATAAATACTAAAATGAATAATATCGCAAGCGCTGGTACGAATGACACTTGGAATAGATATTTATAAATAAATGAAGCAGAGTACTTCAACACAACAGTTATTAAAAGATCATGGCTGGTTATTAAAGAAAGACTTGAACGTCATGCTTTATGTTTTTCTTAATTTCAGTTTAAATGAATTTACTAGGCATACAATTAAACGATCATCGTTAGTGCTTATTGAAGAACTTCGATAGATTATACCTCAGAGTTATTACATACATTTAAAGAGACGTATACGTTGATGAGATACCAACCAGTAAAATTGTTTAGTCAACATGAATATGGTGACAGCTTTTTATCCTAAATTTAAGACTGAAATTATAAATTCGAAATGTATTTCTGTTTTAATTTGCAGTTTGCTTAATTTCGTTTCCGTTAAAGACATTTAAGTCAAGAACAGTAATAGATGTATACAGCACTTCATGCGAGAATTTGAGTAAATGGTAGTGCAAGCTAGCTAATTTTAAAAATTGCTTGATTTGATGGAAATATATATCAAAATAAGAGTTGCTTAGACAGTGGAGAGAACTACATAATATGTATAAAAATACGAAACAAACGATACATGGGATGACAAGTTGATATCCTCGCTATAAGTTTTCGGTTAACAGGAAGTTGATTGAAGTTTAAACGAATTACACAGTATAACATGCTGATATAAAGCCTGATATAAAAGTTAAAGAAGCTCAGACGTGTAGTTCCTGAGATAAAACCATCACAATTTTATTGGACAGACACAATACACAATAAATCCCTCCTTTGGATTGAGGGTATGAAAACAAAACATATAATACAAAAGGCAAACTTTGACTAAATACTCCAAACAGATGTTTATTAAACCATTAAGATTAAGAAATATATTTTCATTCAACTTATTGAAAGGCAATACATGAAGAAACTAAACTGTTATTAAGAAAAATGCCGTAATTTTCAGAGACTATTAATCACACTAAATACAAAAGGTTCTGGAAGGGTGAAATTTGAGAATACACATCGGGCATAAGCAATAAGTTACGTCTGAGTTACTAGATAAAATATTGGGACCTAACAAAAATCCAAAATATTCTATTGTTTGAAATTTTTAGCATTTGAAAAGTGCATGCAGTTGCATTTGCAAAGAAACGCTTAGAAAGTGTATCTCTATAATAGGAAATAGACTATTGCGATAACAGCTATACAATCTAAACTATGTATCTCTCATTTTAATTCGGACATTTTTCTGAAAAAATAGGCAAATTCGTTTCTTTTTTATTGACACTTTGATTTTTAGTATTCTATCATATGTACAATATTCCAAACATTAGAGAAAAAGTGTATTTTCTTTACCTTTCAAATGAGAAAATCAATCAAGGCTACTTTTTCGTCATTTTTTTTTCAATTTAAATACGTTTTCTCTGCTTCCGATGGTGACCATCATATGCAGGTTTGACTACATATTTATTTCATCAAGAACTGCAAAATCTAGCCATCAGTAGTTTACCGATGTTCAAATCTTATAAATTGATTAAGAAGACAAATCAAGGTAAAAAGCAAAAACCGGGGAAATCGCACAAATTCCAAAAGGTGCGAGACCAGTGTAGGCAACTCCTGCTATACATATATCATGCGAATGCACATTCGGGAAACGGACACAATATGTTAAATTACAGATTAGATGACTGTTCTGGTGTCTAAAGATCAGAACACATCGCAAGTGAATTGAGACACAGATATAATGTTTCGGTAAACCAACTCGTGATTGTAACTATACAACCTATGTAGTTTCGATTTCAGTTTACCTCATAACTGTGCTGGATAAGTTTTAATGTGAGGAGCATACCTTTGATAATACAGTTCATATAGCATAACCATGCACGATCAAAATGTATCAATTTAAATATGTAAACGCCATACGATAGAGCCGGGAAATGGGAAGTTGACAATTGGAAAGTTGAATTAATCATATTTGTGGTCCAAATAAAAATAGCAACATTTTGAATTCTTACGTCGAATATTTAAATGTTTCAGTGTGCACGACATTCCAGTGACATAACAAATGATATTTCTGCTCTAAAGGGTCAAGATAATATCAATCTTTACTTAAGATAATATACATTAACATAATATTGAAAGTAAACTTTTTACTACTGTGGATATGTTATGGAGCTAGATATACTAGCTCTTATCATATTGTCTCCGTCGTAATCAGATTAAATGTATCTTCTTGAATATAAAAAATATGAAAAAGTTATCAATTTATAGTCAATTTAATATCTGCAAATTTCCGCGTTTGAGATAACATATATCTACTGTCTCTCTTCATTTGGTCAACTATTTGCCTATTATGAAACATTCCTAAAGAATCAAACTCAGGTCATTCATGTACCCAGGCCATTCTCACCTAAAAATCTACGTCATAGATATATGATCTGCAAAATAATGCGCATTACGATTCTACTTTCGCTTGATTACCGTCAAATTTTCAAGAGATCGTTAGCAATTGGATGGCTTGAATCGTTTGCAAAATAAGGATATAATAATGATTAATAATAATAATAATAATAAACTACAGCACTCGAGTCAGGAGTAAGATCAAAATATGACCTATATTTTTTGAATCGGTGTGGGGTTTTAGGGTGATAAAACTTAGTTAATTAAATAATTAGTCTTACATTGGTAAAAAATTACAAATCCCTAATATGATACATTAATAAAATACACAAAAAAGAAAACAAAGACCAGTCCCTTTTGTAAAATAGTGCTGAATTTGTTTAAATACCTTTTGCCCATACGTGCTAAAAACAATGACCCCAGGTATTCCGCATTTGTATACCGAATGTTGAGCCCACTGACCAGATGTCATCTCCTTTGTTTACCATTATGTGACTATTTCTTCAAAATGACTTCAGGACAGTGCCCTTTGTTGAATTGGATAATGATAATACAATGGCCTGAGAGCATCCCCATTTGTGTATCATTGTCATAGAATATTTCCCCAAGGTATTCACCTTTGAATAGGACCAGTTTAACAAAATAACCTTTTGCCATTCATCTTTTTTGTAACAATTAGATGATAAAATGACCCAAGGTCAAATCAACTGGTATATTTATGATAAAGACAATGACCCGAGTTCATCCCCTTTGTATAGGGTAATCTTAACACAATAACAACGGATCATCTTTCTTTGTCTATAATAAGTGTTTGTATAAACCCCTATTGTATATTGATAAATACCGCCATGACTCAATACATCCTCCTTTGTCTATTTTTCTATAATAAGTCTTTACTCGGTCGTGTAACTCATCCCATATGACCTCAAGTCATTTAGTTTTTTTAAATGAAACTACCCTAGACAAAGAATTATTGTGGTTTACATTATTATACAGAGATGGTCCTGAAATAAGGATGCAAGTTATAATAGTCATCAAACATTTTTTTCAAACGGTTCATTTCATTGTACTATGATAAGCCTAACGAACTCTTGATTATTTGGCGGTTATAAAACGAAATAAGTCTAAAAAACATTTATCTATGGAGTATTATGTTTCAGTGACCATGACCTGGGGCCGATTACCTGTTAAACTGCAACTGAATAAAGAAAAATGTATATGTGACATGTATGCTTTCAGCAATATAATCAACAGAAAATTTATGCAATAGGTCTGTAACTGTGTACAACGTAACAAAGTTTACACTTTAAGTTTTTTCACTTTAAGTTGTGATTGTTCATAAACCCATCCACAGAAATTTTGTTGTTGTTATCCCTAACCCTTATCTTAACTCTATCCCTCTTTTTTTTTTTTTTTAAATATACGGCTTTTCGAGAAATCGCAATATAAAGTAAAATGACACATTTTGCAGCTTTTTAAAAAAGTGCATTATATACAGTAACATACCTATTTCACGAATTGTTAACTGATCGTATCTCTGGGAATGCTGATGCCACAAATATACATTTTTATGATTTTCAGATGCATTTCAACGAGTCCATATGCAACAAAAGTTGTCAAAAATCTGAAACATCGCCCAATTACGTATACATTGACATAGATAATGTATAAAATATCCCATTTTAAAACATTAACACTACCACATACCGATTTTGGAAAAAGGATCAACATATGGTGATGTAAAGGTTGACTGGTCGGACTGACCGTCGATAGGCAAATGTTCATAAAATGTTGCCAATTTGACAGAAAGTAACTTCTGTTTGGATTCAGCAAAATCAAAGTATTCGAAATGTCCAATCTGGAAATAAATTGATAATTTTATATAGATGTTTGATATATTAAATACTAGTACAAGGTAGCTATATCAGTTTTTATGACAGGTCGTTTCAGATTTACTCCTGTCTGCATATATTTTGATATGAACGCCACTAATAAGGGTTACATAGACGAAATATGCGCACTGAATTATAAGCCTAGATGAAGGTTTTTTTTACTTACAAGTAACAATATCAATGAAAGTGTAATATTATTCCATTGCTATAATTGCACTTAATTCTGTGTCGTGGGAATTTTTTACCATTAATTTGTTTTGTCTTACATGTACCATCTTTTACAGATCGCATAAATTTCAAAAGGTGAAAAGGAATATTATCTAATCATTTTAAAAATTTGGCTTTATTTTTGCTTTAATTTTCTAAATTTCATTACTTTTCACCTATAGATAAGGTTAGATTTATTTGTATCTATAAATAAGAAGATGTGGTATGAGTGCCAATGAGACAACTCTCCAAGCAAGGCACAATGTATAAAAAGTAATGTTTATTTGAATTTTTTGGTCAGTTGTGTTGTATGTCTGTGATGATTTTTTACACAGTAACCTATTATGTCTGTTTGCGTTGCCCAACCAATTTTGTCAATATAACGGAACTATAAACTTTCATGCAAGTGGTAGATTTAGATAGCTATAAAACAAGGTTTAACCCACAATTTTCTATGGGAAATGCATGTACCAAGTCAGGAATATGGCAGTTGTTTTTTACTTGTTTCGTTGATTGATAGTGTTTGATTTTGTCAGTTTTTATGTACTTCCCTTTTTTTGAATTGCCTTGGAGTTCAGTATTTTCTTTATACTTTTTTAGCATATAGTAAATTTATATTCAACTATGAAATATCAGACTCATTTAAACATATGTTCTTCTTAACATTTAAATATGCGATTTCAGATGATGTTTCTGTTTATCAAAAGTTTCTTTAGGAGTGCACAAAAAAAAGGTTAAAAGAGATGGCAGATATTGGTTACAAGCTTACATATATACATTGTATAACACGACACTTTGAAAAGTTTGTCCGTCTACAAGTCCAGTACACAATTCAATAATTCATCAAACTCACGTCTATGATATCACAAAGTTATCACAATCATAAATGTTTTCAAACGTCTTATCGTATGTTCAACGCAGTAATATATTTTTGAATTAGTGTCTCCTATACGGTGTGACGATTGATGGATTGTTTGAATACATTGTATCAGATAAAAAACAGAATTTGAGTGATCATACACCTCAAAATTCGTCCAAGTTCTTGTAAGTAGATTAATGGTATTGCTGGATACCGTTTTGATATCCGAATAACCCTTATGTATGGGATTTGTCCACAGACAACCCGAAACGGGTAATGACGATATTTCATAAATTTGAAAGAACAAAAAAAAAAAAATTATAAAAATTTATTGAATGACCAATTAAGGTGACAGTCATCTTCAAGTCGAGGATAAAAATGACGATTATCGCCGTTATTTAACTCGTTTTTTGTTGAACAAGCGGGACCTTTAAGTCAATATATAATTCCGACTTTATAAAGATATATTTAGCATGCTAAGGTACCATTGAAGAGGCAAGAGATACCATATTAGCAAAGACACTTGATAAAGCTGTGGACCTAACATTGATTTCGTTCTAAATGCCGTAAAAGTTGGACTCGGTTTACAAGCGAATTATCATAAAAATACAAATCTTTTGTTTCATAGCAGTCATCGGGGTTCACCCTTTCTTAACAATTATTTTCATTACATAACACGTAAATTGTTAACACGATTGTCACGAAAATCTAAAGAGTGTTGTTTTCATTTATTTTTATTTCAAAATGTATAATTCTAAAATATTAATTGGAACAAAAAAGACTTGTTCCTCACCTGTGTATTGAGTTTACGTGCGGTAGTAGTTTATTGATGTTCAAATTCATGAATTGATTTTAAATAAACCAACAGAATAAAAGCTGAGGAAATCGTAATGAGTCCAAATGAAGCGAAAGTCAGACCACGTGCATCAACAAGGTAAACGAATCCGGACTATTATACAAATGTCACGAAAGGAATAAAGACACAATCGGTTTATTTACTGATCAGACAGCTATTCAGGTTTCGGTTGTGTAATTGCCCTTTAAAGTTTATTCTCTTTTTTTATTTTATTTATTTCAAATATGAATCAGAACATACTTGCTTAGGTCCAAAAGAAGGATCATGTAAGGTCTGACTTGACATATTTTGTAACTGAATTTTGGCTTGTTCATCTGAAAAAAAGATAATCAAATATTACAATTTGGTTTAAATTACAGTCCATCCAGCACAATCAGTAATTATATTTGCACAATTTTACACATTTGAGTTTAACTTAATTAACTTATAGCAATACTTTTATCAAAGGACATCGTGAAATTATAAAAAAAAAAAAGATTCAACAACCGGCATCAAACTCAGTTCACCTAGTCTAAATGATCCACATTATACTTTGTAGAGTATTGTAAGGTAAGCTCGTAACAAATAGATCTGCCAATATGCCACTTGATTGAAAGTAACACAAACGTTATCGCCATACTACAGTGTTTGTGAGTTCTGCTAGACAATTGATTAAATTGAAAAAAAGAAATGCGACACCAAAAATTAGGTATTTATATACAATGTTATACTTCAGTTTATTTAGTTATTTGCCTCATGTGTTGATATATGCATGTTCAAATTAGGACTTCTGTCATAACGTCACACTTTCCCTATTTAATTTTAAAATTTGTCTTTTTCATAGACATGACTAAATATGGTAATAATAATGCTTTCTTGAAAAAGTGATTAAATAACAGACGAGTTTTGCGGTTAATACTTGACCAAGAACACTTTTTCATTGAATATTACATACGTAGCATGTGATTGTTAGGTAAACATTTCATTGTGGGGCATTAACACTAAGCATGTTCAGTGTTTCAGTTCTTAAAATATCAAATGTAAATCCTGTATGATGAAATTCAGGTGACATGTGTATTCTCATGCTCGTTAATGGATAAATATTATAGGATTAAAAAAAATTATTGGTGTATAAACTGGACCCCAAAAAATTCCTTTAAAAATGCGTTTAATCCTTATAAATCTTTAAAATTGGAGATACGGCATTTAATTTCCCCACTCGTTATCTCCATCACACGTAAATTGTATATTTGTGTCATTGAATTGCCCTGGCGCATGAATATATTTTTTGGTTAGCGCAAAAAAATTAACTCCATGAAATTTGCTATCTGATAAGAAATAAACTAAATATTTTTGACGTCGAGCCTGTTTGTGTTATTATCGCCACCATCTTGTTTACATGGGTAACAAAAAGTAGTTCCGTCAACGTTGCTTATCTAAAAATAAATAACTTCAAGAGCAACTACCGGAAGCCCTGTCGACCAATCATATAAACGTATTCCCTAATATACAAATCATATAAGAATTATATATATATATATATATATACCTTGTCCAATCAGGTAGGTGAATATAGTAATTTTGTTTTGAAGTTTTGAATTTTCAGTGCTGATAACTTGTACAGGATCACTGCCGGATGTAGATTTTCCGTCGCTGATAAAAAGAATTACCTGATCTAAAATAAATGATTACTAATCAAACTATACTATATTTGACTCCGACATAGTTATAGATACGTCAGCAATTCCTATTTACCTAAACATTATCATAAAGTGTTTTCAGTTTTGTCATATTGTAGGGTTTCGTAAAGAGATGTCTACCTATCTGCTTTTGTATTCATCCCATTTACCGGATGCTAGAGGTTTCCTAGTTTGCTACGGAGTAGGTACTGTTGGTACATATTGCAACCTTAGATGTTATTTTGGGGGTATTATTTGAGCTTCTTTTATTCAACATGATAAATAAGAAGGAAAAGAAATTTCAGACAAAGAAATAAATAACTTTTTTTTCATTTCTGTTTATTTCTTTTTATATTAAAATTCATGATTGACCTTTAATTAATAAATGAATACCAAAAGGTATTTGAAAACAACGGAAAAATGGATTATGAACTACTTTTCTAAATATTGCATTACTCTATGAGACATAGAAAAGTCGACATTGTGTTTTTTTTACAGTAGATAATATCAATTTTTTTTTATTGTATTGAAGAAAGCTCCAAATCGTTTTCTCTTTAATAATTCAATAGTTTATGCATAATAAAGACAGGAATTAATTTACTAATAAGGATGATATAATTTTAAGAAAGTGTGACACTTGTAGTTGATTTGTTAGAATAAAAATCTTTCGAAATTCTTCTTCTACAATTTTATGAGAATAAAATAGAGAGTTTCAAGTGTAGCAAGCCTTATATTTTCATAAAGGACCCCCTGATCAAAATATATCGTTTTTCCCACTGATCAAAATATACTGTTTTCCCCATTGATCAAAATGTACTGTTTTTCCCACTGGTCAAACTATACTGTTTTCCCCACTGATCAAAATATACTATATTTCCCACTGTTCAAAATATACTGTTTTCCCAATTTATTAAAATATACTGTTTTCCCAACCGATCAAGATATACTGTTTTCCCAACTGATCAAAATATACTTTTTTTCTCACTGATTAAAATATACTATTATTCACACTAATAACAATATACTATATTCGGTCATACGTGGGTCCTTCCTATACATATAACTCATGTTAAAATGCGGGTTAATAAATCATAACGATATATAGAACATATCCATTGATATCTGGAACACAACCTTCTGTAATGTCAGCCATGGTAAAATTTCAAAGTCATAAATACTAATCTTGACAGATATTGCAATTTTTATGCACTACTGAAAATCTTTATTTACTTATTTTTTCACTTAATGTAAATTGTGAAAAAGGTTACCTCTATTTTGAACTTTAATAGTGTCATCTGAGGAATTGAAAAACTTAAAAGCAGCAACTAAAGCCTTTCCAAAGTTGGAAACTGAACTTCCAGTGCCTATAGAAAAGACATAACCCTTAAGTTTGTCTGTATTTTCCTTTGTCGCAAATGCCATTTCACTTTGATAACATGAATGATATGAATTTCCGGAAGGAGAGAATGCATCTTGGTTAAATGTAACCAGTCCAACCTATTAATAGATATAAAATACATTGTGATAATTGATGATATCGACTCATTTGTAAATTTCCAATACATTAAAGAGTACAAAATACTGATGGTCATTCTGTCACTTTAAAGTAACGAAAGGAGTAAACACATAATCAGACGTTAACAACAATTCTGCATGTCTCAGTTTGTGGAAAAGTATTATTTTGTAGAGATGGAAAATATCAACAATATATCAATGTATGGAACATTCGGATGTATTACAATTTATTATTTAGTTTTAACCTAACCGAAGATGTATCTACCACAGGGATTTATTTAAAATCGTGTATGGTACTAAAAGCTATCATTGCTTTTCTCTGAAACAAATATTTCAGCTATACTAAAATTATTCTAGAAATATTACAAAAGATCGTTTTGACATTTAGGTAACATGAAAGTTATACGTCTTTTCTTGTAAGTACTGTACAATAGCCCATACAGATGCCTTTAAAAACGTGACAATCGTAAACGCAATCTGGAGTGTCAATAAACTCATCATACATGTTAAAATTTAAAGAAATCATTTTAATGGACGTTTCGTCACTGAGGTTATCACCAGCCCAGTAGTCAGCACTTCGTTGTTGACATGAATATCAATTATGTGGTCATTTTTATAAATTTCCTGTTTACAAAACTTTGAATTTTTCGAAAAACTAAGGATTTTCATACAAGGCATAGATTACCTTAGCCGTATTTGGCACAACTTTTTGGAATTTTGGATCTTCAATGCTCTTCAATTTTGTACTTGGTTGGCTTTATAACTATTTTGAGCGTCACTGATGAGTCTTGTGTGGACGAAACGCGTGTCTGGCGTACTAAATTAAAATCCTGGTACCTTTGATAACTATTAAGTGATCTTCACATTCGGTTTGCATTATATCTACACTCGATTGCAAAGCCCATTTTTATTATTGAAAAAAACCTCATGAAAGGTACCATAATTTTAATGCAGTAAGTAAATATGCCCGAACATGTTTTGTTGCTATCGACGGTTAGCTCAATTCACATGGTCTTTTTTTTTCTTTTCACTATTCCTTCCCATCAGCTTGATTGGTAAGATTTTTGATAGCAATGAAACAAAGTTCGACAACATCATGTTGTCAATATTTTTCACAATTTTTCACTACTTATGTTGTGCTGTTACACCACTGTCCCAGGTAAGGGAGAGGGTTGAGCGCTCACAAACATTTGTTACCCGCCATATTCTTTATGTGCCTGTCCCAAGTCAGGAGCCTGTAGTACAGTGGTTGTCGTTGGTTCATGTCTGTCATATTTGTTTTTCGTTTATTTTTTTGTTATACATTAAGCCGTTAGTTTTCTCAATTGAATTGTTTAATATTTTTCATGTCGGGGCCTTTCATAGCCGACTATACGGTATGGGTTTTTCTCTTTGTTGAAGGCCGTATTGTTACCTATAATTGCTTACATCAACTTTATTTAAACTTTGGTGGATAGTTGTCTTATTGGCAATCATATCTCATCTCCTTATTTTTATATCAAGACATGATTAATTATCGTTGATTTCATGCAAAAACATTAAGATGCCTGCTATTATATAAATAATGTTATTGCCGATGTGTTTCATATATGATAGAACTTCGTTTTAACGCGTATGTTGTTCAAGAACATAATTTTCTACTTACCCTGTCATTAGGTTTTAGTGTCTGAATGACATTATTTGCCGCTTCTTTAGCAATGACAATTTTTGTCTTTGGCGTGACTGCAGACGATTGTTTCATTGACGCACTTGTATCAATTACAATAACGACATCTTTATCCGAAGGAGAGGCTGTTGAAGCATATGGAGTCCTTTTTAAAAGTAAATAAGGATGCATTGAATGTATTACTGACCAGTAAAAAGTAAAATCACAAAAATACTGAACTAGGAAAATTCAAAACGGAAAGTCCCTAATCAAATGGCAAGATCAAAAGCACAAACACATCAAACGAATGACACTTACATGATAATAGTTTTCTAAAAAAAATTTCAGATATAAATGCAAATTTTTTTCACATTCTTTCATTTATGTCTTGCTTCTAATTCATGTAACATAATGCAAAACTTCGGGATGCTAAACCGGCGACAAGCGTTAATTCTTCCTATGAAATTTATGTATCTTTTTTCGTATGTTCATTTGTTTTGTAAATTTACTGTCTATTAAATGTTGAATTTTTCGAAACAACAAGGTTCGTCTACCCGCACCCATAGATTGCATTAGCTGTATTTGGTACAACTGTTCGGAATATTCTGTTGTTAATGCTCATCACTTTCGTATTCGATTTGGCCTTCTAACTGTTTTGACTCGATCGCCATTGATGAGTTATATAGACGAACGCGTACCAATTTAAAATTCTGGTATCAGCGATGCGTTATTATATCTCACAAGGTAGAGATTGGAGATATTTACTTGATATACAGATGCTGCTGTGATGTTGCTTCATAGAAATGGAAAGTTTACAATTGGGATACTGAATTCATCTCTTTTGTTGTAAAGTTTTGTTTTGTTTTCAACCGACCCTCATTGTCAATTTCTAAATGTAATTCAAGATATGAGTCAGTTTTAATTGTATCTGTTGTAACCTTTATTTCAATGTGATAGATGCACTCAACATAGTCATCAAACTTTGAATTATTTAATGAAAGGACATCATCTATATAGTGGAACGTGAAGTTAAAGGATCATGGTAGCATCTTTTAATTCTTTCTCAGGAGCTCCTGTACGAAGTTTGCCTCCCATGAACAAGCAAGTGAGCAAGAAGAAGAGCCATTGGAATGCTTGTTGAAAAACACATCCTTCAAGCGTAACAAAATTGCTGTTAACTCCTCATAGATCCAATATATCCACTTAATTTCATCTGATAGTATTGTCGTTGTTGCTATGGTCATGGCTTTGACACATAACCTTAAATATTTACTATATCTATTTATTACCATATAAACGTTGGGAAAGGGATTTTCAAGACTATTTTGTTTATGTAAATCACTGAAAAATTAGTGTAAGTGAATAAAGGGACTTTCAGATCATTAACCAAATTTTAACAAATGAAAATAATTCAAGTTGTTTCGAAAAAACTCTTACGTAAATCTTGGATCAAAGTTCTGACAGTTCTGTAACTTCGTAGCAGGGTATAAGACAAATACACCTTCTCTCGTACTGTAATGCTGCCACAAAACATTCTTGTTGTCTTGGTAATCCTTCTTCATTATATCACTGATTAAATCGGTCGGATATTTTAGGTTATCTGTTGCAATCGGGGAAGTGGTTACACATGCTTGACTAAAATCTACCTATATATTTTTTAAAATATATAAAGATTGAGAAAAATCCAAACAAGTAAAACAAACACTTAAGCTTTTTTCTACAGTATAGCGATTCTTGGTAAATTCTTTTGATTACGATTTGTAAAAACTCAACAATTTCGAAATTGAAATGAAATGATATTATCATTAGTGAAGCATTCTAACTAATTATTCATTTGTAAGTATAGTGTCAACATTCTTTTATACAATGTTTCATATCTCATTTAATACGTAACGCTCGTGTATGTTCACACTACACGGACTTACTTAACAGGGGTGTGCTCTTTACACTGCTCCAAAAGAATAATGAGGAAGAACGACTGAAATCGACACTGCATAAGTTTAACGGCTACCATCACATTGGTTTGCCGATACCCTGTGTTGGTGTCTCAACTCACTAGCGACATTTTATACGCGGTCCCAGATCTTTAGATACCAGTATAGTCGTTTGATCTGTAATTTTACCGATTGTGTCCTATTCCCAATTGTGATATTTTGACTGAGTGTGAATTTACATTGCTGGTTATGCATATAAAGCAGAAGATGATTAACATATCGACGCATCCAGTCCCACTCCATTTGGAGTTCATGCAATTCCCTAAATATAGGATGATAAACATGCGAAATTAGCCATTACAATCGCAACTACCTTAATTATCATTTCATTTAACTACATAATTTAGAACTATCTAGTTTACCTACTATTACATGTTGCCACGGGATTGTTAGTTTATTTTCAACTTATCACTTTGAATACCCCTTTGATAAATTTTGCCTCCTTTCACAATGAGACAACACTAGTCATTCCAACACGTATTAATTGAAATACTCTTTTAGTCAAGTAAAGAATTACATTAGAGGCAACAGTAGTTTGATAAAGTTTAAATCGCATAAATCCATTTAGAGGATGACAAAACTGATCACTAATAGAATCAATTTCAAATTCTACATTTTTTAAATTTCACATAACTACATCCATAAGAATTACTGCCATATCGATCCTTTTTGCGTCTTTTGAAACATTTTTTTCATAGATTCATATTTAAATTACTATATAAAAATTAACAAACATAAGCTATGACATAAACCGGATATTAAGTCGGTTTCGATCCGGTACCGGCGATTACACCATGTCGTACATAATAAAAATCGCAATTTTCATGTTTTTTAATATATTTTGTTTTACATTTTTTTTCAAAAATTACATTATTTTTTTGCAAAAAATCCAGTTAATGGTCCTTTGTGCTCTTATTACACTCCTTTGTGGTCCTCTGTGCTACATTGTGCTAGTTTGTGCACAAATGAGGTCCTTTGCGGTGTTTTTAGGGACCCTGAATTGCATGAATTCTAAACGGAGAAAAATAGGGTATTTTCATGTTTTATGTTCGCATAAAAAATATCAAATCTCTTTCGATAATTATAAAATCTTTACAAACCTTTTTTTTTTGTGTAATACAATATAAATGCAAAAATTCATTTCTTTGATAGAAAGCATTCTGCACTTTTGTCCTTGTGTACCTTTGCGTATTATTCGTATTTTGATGAAGAAAAAAAAGGAATAAAAAAATGTTATCAAATTTCTTTATTAAAAGCAAAATGTTACTTCATCTGAAAACTGTCTTTTCTTACCTTTGTCTGAAACTCTAGTGCGTACGTTAGTTGGTCGTCTGATAAATCACAACAATTTGGAAGATTTGTCGAAGAACCGTCCTGATTAACTGACACTATTTTTGTTTTTACGTTGTCTAAAACAGTGTTCAAGTTGGTCAGTGCAGTATTTAGATTGGATTGTATCTAAAACATTGTAAATAAGCTGTATGAATCTTTATCATGTTACGATATAGTTTTATACAAGCCACACTCAAAGGAGTAAGATACAAATACTGTCCTTATAAATGATGTGGATATTAGAATTATAAGTATATGTTAATAAGAAATAACATTTAAAAGTACTAGATAAAACAATCGTTGTGCAATTAAAGTCATAGATTTAACAAATCATTCTTCAATGACGACTATTACACCTGTAAGTGGAGCAGGATCTTCTCACTCTTCCTGAGAACATGAGATTGGTAGGTTTCATGTTGCTCAGTTTTTTATATCTACGTTGTGTTTCATGGAATGTTGTTCGTCTTTTTGTTGTTTTTCATAATGTGCAATGGCATTGTCAGTTTGTCTTCGACATATGAGTTCGAATGTCCATTTATGTCTTTCGACTTCCTCCTAGCATTAAAATAATGAAATAAGTATATTTTGTTTATTCTTTAGTTTCCTGGATTTTCAGCGTTTGAAACAATAATTACGATTTTTCTTACGGTATGTCACATCTGTCATTGTATTAGATATACTCACGTTACTACTTATTACCATTTTAAACTGATGTTGATTTTGTTTCTTATTCAAATTGCATCTGCTTGAACATGTATGGTAGTTTTTTTGTTTTGTAATTTTTTTTTACTTAAAATGCCAAATTAGAATATTCAGAAATCAGAAATACATAAAATATATATGAAACGAAAGTTCCCCATAAATATGTCAAAACAATTTAATTCATATATTTGGACTCCACACAAGCTTACTTACTCTTTGTAATATTTCAGTTCCTGTGCCGGATTTTTGTCCGTAAGGAATTTTATCAAACTCTTCCTAAACGAAGAAAACAATCATTTATTAAATAATTAGTTTTAAGACAGACAGCTATAATTTCCATCAGCTAGAAGGGAAAAAACATGAATATTGAAATCAACTATATTAACAGGATTTTAATGTCGTCCCCAACTGTAAAAAAGAATACGTTTAGGATATATTTTTATTAAACCAGGAACTTATTTTCTTCATAAATTTCAAAATGTTATTGATGAAAATAATCATATGTTTAGAAAACTAAAAAAATCTAAAATAAAAATGAAAACCATAAGATTGTGCAGAAAAAAAAATGTATCGATATATCTTTTTTTCTGTATTTGCACGTCACATATCATCATTCGATAAATTCCATCAATGAAACAATATGACAATTACTATGAAACAGACAGACATTCAGGGGGTATATATGTTCGGAGTTATTTATTCGTGTTATAAATCATTACCTGCAAATAATCCACACCAATGCCTTTTTTAATCTTTCGCAATTCTTCGGCCAACAAATTTCCATCTATACTATCAACAGCTGTCACACAAGTAAGGGATCCAACAAGTATTGTTAGTATAAGTAAAATTTTCATCATCTCCGCTTTGTTTTAAAATATCGAATCCTCTGCCTTAAATAAAAGAAATGTGGTTTGTTGTATAAATTTAAACAGAAAATTACCAATATCCCATGAAATATTTGGTAAATGTAAATGATATATTACACTGCAGAAATTTACTCAAGGGGACTGACTTAAGGATGTTTGCTACTCTGTTTCAAAATAACAAGCTTTATAAAAGACTGTTATAAATTGATAGTATATACATAAAGTAACTAAAAAAGCAGAAAAAAATGATGGGTCCGTGTGCTTGTTTTCGAGATATAAGCCATTGAAAATCTGGCGGGAAATGATTCTCTCTAGAATTTTCATACATTTAACATTGACACCTTTTGTCTTTCAAAAACAATGAAAAAATAACAAGGATTTTATAAGATTTTCAAAGATGACATTTTAAACTATATGCAATCAAATTATGGAAAGAAAAGTAGGGGTTAGTGGGCAAAATTTTTAATGGCACTACATGGATAAAACCAGAGGATTCCGAATATCTGGCAAAAATTCAAAAACAAGAGGAGCGAACATCCTTAAAATAATTATAATATGGACAGCAGTGGTTGTCTCTTTTGTTTTGGGTACTTCTTATTCATAATTCACACTAGAATCTTGACAAAAGAGAAAATGTTTCGTTACTTATTATTTATATTTCAATGATTTACCAAAATGCAGTTTCATGGTTTTTCAAAAAATAAAAAAAAAACAAATGAGTATGGGTCACGTACACGTAGCTTTTTTCATGCTATATATTGAACAATTGAATTGTCAGATTATGTATAGATAATACAGGGTTAAACCAAACCAATTTTGTGTGATCGAAAGAAAACTTTACGATAAAATTTTAAGCTAAAATATAAGAGTAGATAGCTCTTATAATGATCTGGAAATAAACATTGAATTGGGTCCACGTTTTTTTTGCTTTACAACAAAATAGATACCAATTCATTTATAAAAATTAGACTATCTGAATTATCTGCCATTTATGAGGCTCATTGAAAAAATTAAATCAAACAAAAACTATTCTTTACTTATAATATAGTTGTAATAATATGATAAAAAAAGAGATATCTTCAATTAGATGAAAAGTCTTAAAACATTAATTAGACCTCTCTTAGAATTTGCGTATATTTCATTAAAGATCTAGACCGATTGTTTTCTGCAATTTATCAATTCCAGATGTCGGATGATCTACACTCAACGGAAACATAAGTCCTGTGAAAAAATACCATATCCCCAAAACAAAAGATAAAATACAGAATATATAAAATCAACGATTATCATATACGACTCTCCTAGAGAATGTTATATTAAAAATCACATCAAATCGTATATGCGGCACATCGTTTTCACAACAGGAATGATTACCTTGGAACAGATAAACAAAACTTAATTAAGGATGTTCGCTACTCTTGTTTTTGACTTTTTGTCAGATATTCGGAATTCTCTAGTTTTATCCATGTTAGTGCCAATGAAAATTTTGCCCGCTAACCCTCACTTTTCTTTTCATAATCTTATTATATATTGTTTAAAAAGCCATTTTTGAAAATCTTATATAATCCTTGTTATTTTTCCCCAGTATTTGAAAGAAAAAAGGTGCCCATGTTAAATACATGAAAAATCTAGAGAGAAACATTTCCCGCCAAATTTTCAATGGCTTATTTCTCGAAAACAAGCACACGGACCCTTCATTTTTTTCTGCTTTTTTAGTTCCTTTATGTATATACTACAAATTTATAACAGTCTTATAAAAAGCTTGTTATTTTTAAACAGAGTAGCGAACATCCTTAAAAACATGATCTCATTTGCCTTTATATCTTGAAGGTATAGATTAATTTGAGTATAATCGGAATGGTAAACCGGATATATTTCTATTCATTTAGTCTTCCAGAATACGCATGTGATACATGTATCGGCCACTGAACTTTAACCAACGACGCGTATAATTGTAGAAAACTCTTTTACTCATACAGCTAGGACCATTGTGCAAATATGATTAGTTATGGACTCATATTTTGGTGGTGTACTAGAGGACTATTTTGGGGTACACGATGAAAAAATGTATAGGACGAGGCGGCAGTAGGATACATCTTCACAACTGACGTTTTTATAGATATACATTTTGAAACTGATATCAATAAAACTTTGAAACAATATTATCGCCAGAAATATTAACAGCACCAATTTTGGTGTCCAGACATGCAAGCCAATGTTTAGAGTAGCATTTTTAAAACATTATTTAAATAACGATAGAGGGTTCCACATGAATTCAGAAATTGTTTGCTATGAAAATATGAATTGAATAAGGAATAAAGAAAAATGTTATAAATGTGTGATTTAAATTTTTTGCTCGTGACATCCGAATAACATAATTATCTTCAAAAAGATTTGTATCTAAAAAAAGAACAATGACTTGACATACGTATGCTCCGTGTAATTAAGTTATAACCCTTGTAAACAAAGGCGAAATGTACAACGCCAAACTATACAAGGAAGTTTTTAGTCGGAAATTGAACAATACCCTTTACAACTAGTATATTTGTAAATTAACAAATATCTCGCTTTAGTAAGGAAACATTTGAAGTTTATTTCCTTCATGAAAAGTTATATATCTTACGCGAGAGCATCGTCCGCGGAAAGCACCCACTGACTGTAAAAAATTACAACCTGAGATTTATGCATACATATATAACTAGCATACTTAATGGTTTGGGTATGTTTTGAAGGTAAACTTTGGCTATCCAAAAGTACCTTAAAGTATATATGATTAACATTGGGAGAGACAAATTTGACCGATGCGACAATTGTTCAAGGAGTTCTCACACGGTTCAAGATAATTTACTGCCTATAGATAGTCAATCCTTACCACACTTTATACTTAAATTGATTTTTAAGAGAATGCACTTGTTAGTTTTTGGTTAAAAGTAAGATGTATTTAGGTATTTATATAATCAAATTTGTAAACCGATTGATCTATTAAGTGTGAGTAGAAAGGGTTAGTTTCCTCAATCCCCCCCCCCCACATTTTCCAACAATAGAAGCCCTAATGTACCTTTTGGTAACCATAGTTAACCTCAAATATATATATATACATGTATATAAACACTCCTTTATATGTTAATAAGGCATACATCATGCGAACAAATCACAGGTTTAATCTCAACGTGAAATATCGAATTCGTAGTGCTTAACTTTTTATCTTAATTGTGGAATTGAGGAATTTTTAATTCTCCGTGTGTATCTTTCATTTCTTTTTAATTTTGCTAAACACATTTTTGACGAGAACGGCTTGCCATACAAACTCCCTTTTTAAGTGGAAGAATATTATTGCAATTTTTCAGTATTCTTTTTTAATCCAATCATTTTCGTTATTTGGAATAAGTTGATCAGCAGGTTTGGGCGTTTTTAATTTAGTTCTGCTCTTATCCTTGTGCACTGAATTATTCCTGTATTGTAAGAAACAACATAAGTTATGACTGAAATAAAAAACGATTCGTCTCAACTTCAATAATAGAAAAAATAAAGTCATGTCTTCTGTAAGTTGATAATTTTTTTATTAATGATGAATGAGTTGTCAAAATTTCACAATTTTACCAACAAAAAAGAGAAAATATTATTATAATATAAGATAAGGAAATGTGGTATGATTGCCAATGAGACAACTATCAACCAGAGACCAAATGACGTAGATGTTAGAAACTGTAGGTCATCGTACGGCATTCAACAATGAAAACAAAACCATAGCACATAACAAACTGTATAAAGCCCCCGACATAACAAAACGTAAAACAATTCAAACGAGTAAAACCAACGGCCTAGTTTATGTACAAAACAACATACAAAAACAAATATGATATTTAGTACCACATGTCTAAGACGTTTCTTTTCTGGATTTGTTTGTTTGTTCTTTTACAACGAAATCTGTATTCTAAAATATAAAACAAGATTTTCGTTGTTTTGCTTCCAATATCCCGTGTATAAGTTTCAAAATCTTAACTATGATCGTGACTGGATTTCATTGAACATTAACTGCGTATAAGCGGGAAATCATTTAAAGAAAGATTTAGACTTACAAAAATAACTTCCAAATATTTGTAAGAATACATAAGAGTCAAAATGTTTTATAAAAACTGAAAAAAATAGATAAAAAACAAAATAAATAAATAAATAGAATATCAAACTATTATTGTTTCAATGCTTTAGAATAACTCTTTGCATATTCAAATATATCGTTTTGATTTACTGATAAATAGAACTTTGTAATTATTGTTTTACTAAGATATATAGGTTTTTCCATCTCTCGTCAGGAAGAAGACCAAAGTTTTAAATAACATATGCATATGATTAAAAAATGATTTTTCCATAAAGTGTTGAAAGAGCATTATGGTTAAAAGGAAGTTATTAAAGATGATTGGCGCCACCTAGATTTTAAGATTATAGGTAGAAGTAAATTTATTTTCTGATGCCCTGTTAATTAGAAAAGAAAAATGAAATAGGGAGAAATGAGTGTTGGCTATTGCTGTAGAAATAGCGAGAAATTTTGAGGAAACTCTCTGTGATGGGCAAAACTTTCTGTGTAATTTTAAGCAAGGGGTGTTCTTCATTCATACTATTTTCAAAATTCTGGAACCATAGAGTACCCTTAAAAAATACAATTTTTCTATCAAAAAAACTGCGGCACCATATGTGTTTTGTAGTTTTATTCACACCCAAAGGTGTTGAAAATTCAGAATTTGACAGTTTTTTCAACGGATCTTTTATAGTGAAAACGCAGAACCCAAAAAGGCTAACATTGTCGCCTATATAAATAATTACTTCATTTTAACCTTATGACTCAGACACCATTGAACTGGCTATTTACTGCATATTTTCGTTGATTGAATAACTTCAACCGGCGTTTCTATAAATCCCTTCAGTTACTAAAATACCAAATTAACACTTTGACAATAAGACAACATAATTAAACGATATATTCAAATTATTTAATCTGATATCATCCATATATATCTATACTTTAT